CCAGGACGCAGGGGACGCAGAGGGTGTTAGTGACGATGCTGCATGTGTGCACATGTGCGTGAGTAGGTGTGTGCATAGGTGAGTGCGTACGTGAGTGTGTGCGTGTGCACAGGTGTGAGTACATGTACTGCGTAAGTGTGTGTGAGGACATGTGTGTGATAAGTGTGAGTGTGTGTGAGGGTGTTCAAATGCAAGGACAGTGGCTCCAGGAGACCTGAGTGGAGGGCATTGGAGGGGAGGGGACACCATATGCAGGTGGAGCCCGAGGAAGGAGAGTGTCTGGTGGGGGAGGTGGGCTGGGGCCAGGAGCAGGGAGGGTGGGGGGCAGGAGGGGTCCTCTGATGGACTCCAGCCAGAGGATGGAGGGGTGGCATTTTAACAGCCATGCTCTGGCTGAGCGCGGACAGCGGGGTGGGAGGGGGAAGCCAGTGAGGGGAGAGATGGGGGCAGGCTGGGGGGCAGCATCCACGGTGCTGGGCCACAGGTGTGTGGTTTGGGTGGAGGAGGGGTCGGGATCTCTCAGTCTGAGCTGCTGGAACTGCGTTTGTTCTGCCCTGGGTGAGAGGTGGGTTGAATGGGGAGATGAGCAGCCTGATCCTGGACCCTTGGGGCTGATGACTTGCATCCTTGGTGGTGACCGGGCGCAGGACTGGAATTGGTAGGACTGGCCTGAAGGTGGGGTCTGGTGGCATTCTGGGTCGAGGTGATGACTCAAACTCTTCAGCAATGTTAAACGTAATGGAGGAGAATGATGAGAATCTCACAGCTCCACGGACGGTCAAGGTCCACCTGTGGGCTCGGGGCTCGCCCACACGCCCACTGTCACCCTCCAAGAGCAGCCCTGTTGGCAGGCACCCTCAGTGCTGCCTAATGCTAGCCTCTGCTGGGCTGTGGACCCCTGAGCCCACCTGGGGCTGGGCCTGTCCAGGAAGCAGCTGTAGCAGGGCTACTTATAAAGTGTCACTTAAGTGACAAACCAGAGGGGCAGAAAGCCAACTCCCTGGGGTGGAGGGGCAGGGGCCTGGAGAGGGGATAAGAAGGGGTGTGGGGCTCCTCTTGGGATCTCGCCAAGGCCCAGTTTGACCTTGGCTAGGAAAGAAAAGTTGAGAGGGGGTGGTCAGGAAGAGCTGCAGATGCTTGGTGTACCAAGGTGACTTCAGTACTACTGGTTGGTTTCCAGGACCGCTCCAGTGTGTCTGCAGGACAACGGGTGGGGGAGAGGCCCTGGTGTGTCTGCCCCACCTAAGCAGGCTTGGGTCCTGGAAGTCGGGGTGGTGCAGAGAGCACATTAGGCTCTGGGGACTCTGCCTCAGGCTCCCTGCTGTGTGTGTGTGTGTGTGTGTGTGTGTGTGTGTGTGTGTGTGTGTGTCCCGCTAGCTTCCTGCCTCTGTCTGCCCTAGGAGGCCTCAGAAACACTACCAGAGCCCAAGCCCTTCTGGTCATGTCCCAGCCCTGCGAGTGGTGGGGTGGTGTTTGGGTAGGTCCAGGGAGCACGTGGAGCCCGGTGCCACCATTGAAGGTTTGCTGGCAGAGGCAAGGAAGCTTCAGGTCTCACATCTCACAGGAGATACATGACAAAATGTACTTTTGCCTCTTTGGGTGTGAAATGTGGTGGCCAAAGGTTTATAAAAGGCCTGTGTGACCAGGTGCCAGGGAACCTGTCTTTAATCCCAGGGACACCAGAGGCTTGGGAAGAGGATCGCAAGTCTGAGGCCAGACTTTGCAATTTAGTGAGTCCCTAAGTAACTTAGTGAGACCCTGCCTCAAAATAAAAAAAAATATAAAGAGCTGGGCATGTGGCTCATTGGTAAAGTGCCCCAGGTTCAACCCCTGGTACAGACAAACCTACACAGGGAGCTTCTGCTTACAAACTTCTGGAACAGGGAAGGGAACTAAAGGTGGGGGCGGAGAGCTTCGGGAATGGGGGCTTCAGATACTTACTGTGTATCATCTAGTTGTCTTTAAAACCAGGTACATGAAATTCCTCTGATTACAAATTTTACAAACTATAAGAAGCGCTTTGCTCTGGTGCCAACCAGCTGATCTAGACCTGGGGTTGGTCCTGACTCCTGGACCTCTTGTGAGTGAGGCTGGGGAAGTTCAGGAGGGCTGAGCAGCTTCCTCTGCTTGTTCTAATTTCACTCTTTTGATACTTTTATCTAAACCAGTCTAGAGAAACAATTAGAGGTCAGATGAGCAGGTTTGGGACCAGGTGTGGTGGCACATGCCTGTAATTCCAGCTAATAGGGCAGCTGAGGCAGGAGGATCCTGAGTTCAGGACAGCCTGGGCAATTTAGCAAGAACCTCTCTCATAATCAAAAGGGCTGGGGTGTGGCTCAGTGATAGGGTGTCTGTCTCACATGCCCGAGACCCTGGGTCCAAGCACTGGTACTGCAGTAACAAAAAAAATAAGTAGGTTTGGGTGTGTCAAAGGGACACAGAACTAACTGAACAAGTTCCAGCCACAGCTGGACAAAACGAGGTAGTGTGATTTATGACCAAAAGCATGAAATCAAGGTGGGTTGATAAATAGAGAAATGGGCCAGGTCCAGGATTCTGTGCAGCTCCTCTGCCCTCCAGTAGGAGGCAGCACCCCTCTCCAGTGTGGCTGCACACAGGTCCTTCCAAAGATGACGTGATCTGGAGGGTCACCTGGCTGACTCCAGCAGCCCGGCACTGGCGGTCACCAGCTCCCAGGATGCTGTGCGCCGTGCCTGTGCTCCCCTTAGGCTGCGAGGGGACAGTGCTTTGTCTCTGGTCTTCTTACCCAAACCCACAAGCCCAGTATATTCTCAGGGAATCGGGCGCTCCTGCTCCCAGGACACCCTAAAAAGCACTCAGCCAGTTTCCTCAGAAGAAGGTTTTACTGAAAAACTGTCACAGCCAAGAAGAACCTAAAGAGATGTCCAGCTTCCCAGATAGGACGCTGGGGCAGAGAGAGACGTTACATGGAAACTAAGGAAATCTTCACAAAGCACAGACTTAAGATAATACAAAAAAAAAAAAAAAAAGGGAGATTTCAGTCTCCACTGGGACCTTTCTTTAAAATGCTCACTTGAGAAGCTGTATAATCCCATCAACTTGGGAGGCTGAAGCAGGAGGATCCTGAGTTCAAAACCAGCCTGGGCAAATTAGTGAGGCCCTAAGTGACTCAGCAAGACCTTGCCTCTAAATAAAATATTAAAAAGGGCTGGAGATGTGGCTCAGTGGTTGATGCCTACCTAGCAGGCTGGAGGCCCTGGGCTTGGTCCCCAGCACTGCAGGAACAAAACACCAGGTCACGGGGACATGGCAAGGGCTGGTCTGCATCATTTTCCATTTGTTCTTCTTCTTTTTTTTTTTTTTTTTGTATTTTCTGTTTATTCAAAGCTTTGCTGAACAGGACTCAGAAGTGGGTTCCAAGGAGCCCAGTGTGGGAAACCTGAGTTTATCAGTGGCAGCAATTCATGTTGGTAATCCCTGGAACATCGTGAAGAATACTTTTTAGGGGGTACTGGGAAGTGAACCCAGGGATGCTCTACCACTGAGCCGCATCCCAAGCCCTATTTTGTATTTTATTTACAGACAGGCTCTCAGTGAGGTGCTTAGTGCCTCGCTTTTGCTGAGGCTGGCTTTGAATTCACGATCCTCCTGGGATTGCAGGTATGCGCCACTGTGCCTGCCCCCTTTTACTTTTTATTTTGAGACAGGGTCTTGCTAACTTTCTGGGCTGGCATCCTCCTGCCTCAGCCTCCTGAGGCAATGAGAGTGCAGGTGTAGGGGCTGGGGTTGTGGCTCAGCGGTAGAGCACTCGCCTAGCACGTGTGAAGCCCTGGGTTCAATCCTTAGCACCACATAAAAATAAATAAACAAAATAAAAAAAAAAAGAGTGCAGGTGTGTGCCACTGTGCCCAAGATAACTGATGTACTTTTCAACCGAGTTTTCTTAGTAAGATTAAAACAACAAAGAATCCCCTCTGGGTTCATCCCCTAATACTGTAAAAACCAACCAACAAGTAGAAAAAGAAATAGGGCAGTGGTAATAACTCAGAATCAGTGAGCTTGCCTAGCATGCCCAAGGCTTTGGGTTCCATCCCTGAAAGTGCAGAAACAAAAATCAAAACAAACAATCAAAACTTAAATAAAGTGGGCTGGGGATGTGGTTCAAGTGGTTGCGTGCTCGCCTGGCATGCATGCGGCCCGGGTTCGATCCTCAGTACCACATACAAACAAAGATGTTGTGTCCACCGAAAACTAAAAAATAAATTTAAAAAAATGATCACTTAAAAAAAAACTTAAATAAAGCAATATGCCAGGCGCAGTGGTGCCCACTTGTAATCTATATACTCAGGAGGCTGGGGCAGGGGGCTCTCAAGTTGGAGACTTGAGACCCAGTGTTAGTCTCAAAAATTAGAAAGTTAGGGCTGGGGTCGTGGCTCAGTGGAGAGCACTTGCCTAGCATGTGTGAGGCACTGGGTTCGATTCTCAGCACCACATAAAAATAAATAAAGGTCCTTTGACAATTAAAAATATTTTAAAAAATTAGAAAGTTAAAAAAAAAAAAGGGTTGGAAGTGTAGCTCAGAGCAACTTGCCTAGCATGCCTCCCCGACACCAAAAGTGAATAAATAAATGGATAAATAAAGCAGGGGGGTCCCATTTGAACTGCAGGAGCATGTGGCCTCCAATCCCCTCCCAGCGCTAGGGTTCCAGGACATCACGTGTGGATGAATTCCTGTGTCCACAGGGGCTTTGTTTTGGCCAAGGAGGAAGCCTGATAGCCTCAGCAGTGTCCACCCCCCACGCCTGGCCAGTTGCTGTGGCTGGAAGTTCCCTGGGTGGCCTTGCTGGGGCTGGCCTTGGCCACAGTGCCGGTGGCCCCTGGAGTGCACTGTGCACGTCCTACTGGCAGTTGCCAGTCAGAACAGAGAAGCCCCAGAGTGTGCCCCCTGCCCTTCTGCAGCCGCCCCTGCCCTGGACCCTCTGACCTGTGCTCTGACCTGTGCCCTTGATGTTCTTCAGTTAGTGGCAAGTCCACGCCATGGCCAGCCTGAGGCGCGGCAGGCCCAACTGCATCAGGGCAGCGTTCAGCACCACTGGCACTGGGCCCAGCTTCCGGAAGAGGCAGAGGAATGCACGCCGTCGCCTCCAGGTGCCCCTGCCTGCTGCCCTTCGCCTCAGCGGGGTGGGAGGGACCCCCAGGAAATGCCCCTGTGGCTCTTGTTCAATCTGCAAAGATGGCCTTTTGTAAACACTGGGGTGGCCCTGCCAGCTCCTTGAGAGTCTTTCTTCAGACCTCTGCCATCCTGGGCTCCCAGGTTCAGTGTGTGGCTCCCCAGGGCCCATGCAAGGCCTGGCCTCAGGGCCTCGGGGTCTGGGGGGTGGGGGCGGTGGGCAAGGGCCTTCGGACCTTCCTCCACCTCTGGCTTTGGGTCCCGAGCCGGTGCCAGGTGCGTCTTGTCTGTCTCCTCCCCGTGGCCACCCAGGGCTCGGGCTGACCCCTGGTCCTGCTCCTCCCTCCTGCTAGCAGAGGCTCGGCCTGCATCTCAGGCCCCCAGACCCGACCTGCACACCGCCCTGTGCTCGTCCTTCCCCGCCTCGCCAGAGCCGAGGGCCAGGCAGGGCGGACCCTGCCACGTGGGCCCTGGGTGGCCGCCCTGAAGGAAGGGAACATTCCAGTCCTTTCCCTGCAGGTCAACCACAACAGGAACCACATGGACTTGGCTGAAGTTCTCTGGAGAGAGGTATGTCACCAAGGCCCACAGTCACTTGTCATGGACGGAACAAAAGGGGCCCTCCCCAGAGCCCTGCCCCAGCCCAGGCGAGCCTTGGGACCAGACCCCTTGGGGCGGGTTGTGGTGGTCCTGCGCTGTGATGTCCCCTGAGAGCAGTGAAGCAGTGATTAAGGAGAGTTCTGCTTTGTTTTGTCTGACATGGGGTCTCCCTGGGCTGCCCAGGCTGGCCTCCCCCTCCGGGGCTCAAGTGAGCCGTTTGCCTCTGTCTCCGGAGGGCCTGGGCCTGCCGGTGCATCCCACCCCCCATATCCAGTCAGTCAGGCTTTTTTTTTTTTTTTCCTATTTGCCTCGAAATAGATCCCAGGGCCTCACACACGCTAGGCAATCACTCTACCACGGAGCTATCCCCCGCCCTGTTATGATATTTTAGAAAAAAAAATGTGCTTTAAAGTCTCTTCTGAATTTCTTTTATTGCAATACTGGGGATTGAACCTAGGGGCGCTCTACCACGGAGTCATATCTGCAGCCCTTTTTATTTTTTATTTGAGACAGGGTCTTGCTAAATTGTTGAGGCTGGCCTTGAGCTTTTGATCCTCCTGCCTCAGCCTCCTGAGTAGCAGGGATTACAGGTGTGTGCCACTGTACCTGATTAACGAATAGTCAATATTAAAATTAATCTCAGTCTCAATAATTGACACAGCTCTGGGTAACCCTGGTCTAGGGTGGCGTGAGTCAACAGGGAAGGCAAAAGATCATTTTAGCCAAAACCAGGGTGTGAATGAATGCTCCTCTTGGTCTGTAAGTGCTGTCTACTGGCCACTGGGGCCTTGTGGCCTCCTGAGTACCTACTGCTATGTGGCTTGTGGACTAAAGCAATTCTGATTTGTTTCAGAATCTGAAATTACAATTGTTTACAGATGATTTTGTCTATTATCACGTTTACCTTTTATTTTTTGGAATAAATATCAGTGTCACCTGTCTGAAGAGGAAATGAAGGGCTGGGGTGTGGCTCAGTAGTAGAGCACAGGCTTAGCATGTGTCAGGTCCTGGGTTCCATCCACAGAACCAGAAAAATACAATGAAAAGAGGAAACAAGGTCTCTGGGGAGGTTTTCACTGCCCACGTGATGTGCCCGGTTTCGGGCCCCCGCCTGGACTCAGCTCTGCCTAGCCCTGGGGGCCTTTCTGGTGTGCGTGCTTGCACACGTGTGCACACATGTGCCAGCATGTGGGTTATGTACTAAGCCGTGGTGTGGTGGAGGAGGGAATCGTTGGCCACCTGATGGTGTCGCGGTGTCCCTGGGCCTCCTAGCAGACCTGGAGGCTGCTTCCACAGGAGAGGGGACAGCGCTTGAGAGCTGCTTGCTGGCTGCAAGCTCAGGGCCTGACTGAGGCCACCTGTCAGGTCAGTCTTGGGGACTTGACATTCTCTGAATGAGGTGACTTCCAGAGCCACCCAGTGAGGATCAGGAAGCAGAAGGTGGAAGGAGGGGACGGTAGCCAGGAATCTGATGGCCTTCCAGATGTGTGTGCACCTGCTGGGGCCTCCCTCGTCTGTCCTTCACCAGAAAAGGAGGCCTCGCTCTCTGGAAGAGGCATCAAGAGGAGGAGGGCTCACACCCACTGATGGTCAGTAGGGCTGCTCCTGGGCCAAGGCTGCCGTCCTGTGCCTGGCCCTGGGTCGAGAGTGACCAGCAAGGAGGCTCAGGCTGAGCCCCCAGGATGGCGGGCACTCGGGCTGTCTGCGTTCTATGGAATATTGATCTATTTTTGTTGTTTTTGAGACAGCGTCTCACTATGTTCCCCAAGCTGGCCTTGAACTCCTGGACTCAGGCCATTGTGTCTCAGCCTCAGGGTAGCTGGGACTATAGGCATGAGCTTCCATGGCTGGCTATTTGATTGAATTTATTTTTTAAAATTCACGTACAAAATAAAAAATTGGAGATGTAGCTCAGTTCAGTGCTGGAACATCCCTGGGTTCAGTCCCTAGTAGTGGAAAAAATAAAAATCCACTCTAAGGCAGAGCATTTAAATTTGCCGACACCTCTGGTGGACAAAATAATTCGTGCATCTGCTTCTGTTAGCCATTTGCTGACAGGCTCAGCTTGGCTTTTGTCCTCAGTTTTTAGATTCTTACGATGGTGATTCAGAAGCCTGCCCTGGTCAGTTTGGCTCCTTCTCTGGCTGTTCCCCGGGTGAGAGGAGCAGTGTGCCTCTGTACACACTGAAGTCCAGGAGTCCCGAGGACGCCGGTGTCAACAACGCTCTCCCATCCAAGGCCCCACACCTCTTGGTGAAGGCTGCCTGCTGGGCCCCCATATCCCTGGAAGTCAACGACGTGGACATGCAACCCGAGAGTGAAGTCAGGCTGCCCCTGGAGCCCAGAGGCCCCCAGGAGGCTGGAAGGCAGGCGGAGAGGCCCTGCACAGCCCAGGACTCCAGAGCCACCAGGGCACCCACCCCAGCCAGTCCTGTGGAGCTCCTGGAGCTGGGCAGACACCTGCCCAGCAAGGCGAAGGGGACACGGATGCTACCCAGACTCGGAGGCGAGAGAGACAAAGGGCCCAAGCTCTCGCTTTCCAAGAGAAAACTGGAACTTTTACTTGCAGAGCCTGAAAAAAATAAGAGAAAGAAGCAGCTGATGGCCTGATCCAAGGTGAGCAGATTTAGCTGGGGAAGGGGTGCAGAGGCCACGTGAGGAGCCAGGTCACGGCTGGTCAAGAGGAGCCTTGATAAGCACGAAAGCTTTTCAAAGGAGACATGGGGGGCTGGGCTGGGGCTCAGTGGCAGAGCACTGGCCTGTGAGGCCCTGGGTTCGATCCTCAGCACCACATAAAATAAATAAAAGAAAGGGTCATGTCCATCAGCAACTGAAAAAAAAAAAAGACATGGTGTCACATGGTGCCCTTTTTAGATCTTGAATAAGAAACTTGTCCTCATCACCCAGCTTGAAAATGGGTCTGCCTTTCGGGGGGGGCCTCACGTGCCCTTTATTAACCCCTCCCTTCCCCAAACCCAGAGAATTAATTTTACTAGTGTGTGAGTGTTGAGTGTGCGAGCGTGCTGGGGATGGAATCCAGGGCCAGACAAGTGCTCCTGCCCCGTTTGTGTGTTTTTTATTTTGGTAACAGGGATTTTTTTTTTTAATATTTATTTTCTAGTTTTCGGTGGATACAACATCTTTATTTTTTTATTTTTATGTGGTGCTGAGGATAGAACCCGCGCATGCCAGGTGAGCGCGCTACTGCTTGAGCCACATCCCAGCCCCTGGTACCAGGGATTGAACTCAGGGGCACTCAACCACTGAGCCCCATCCCCAGCCCTGTTTTGTATTTATTTAGACACAGGGGTCTCACTGAGTTGGTTAGCGCCTTGCCATTGCTGAGGCTGGCCTTGAACTCATGATCCTCCTGCCTCAGCCTCCCGAGCTGCTGGGATCACAGGCTGTGCCACTGGCCAGGCACAGGTTTCTGAGCAGTTGGTCTGGGCCCAGCCTGTTGGAATGGTCAAGGCGTGGAGTCCCGGAGGGGAGGTGGTTTGCTCATTGAACTTAATCTACTTGCAGACAAAAGCCGAGAGGTTCTGGTGCTGGTGGTCCTGGTCTAGTCCTCTCCAAGTCTGGCTCTCTCCACACAGCAGTAGGACCTCGCTGTTCCCAAGTGCCAATAAAGAGACGTTGCCACAAGGAACTGCTCCTTCTTCATGGTGGGGAAGAGGCCCTGCCTTGGGGGTGCAGAGGGGGACTGTTGGATGTCAGATGCTCAGGTGGCAGAGGGAGGGGTGGTTAACATCCTGCTTCTGGCTCTGCCAGGCAGGGCCTGGCTAGTGGGCTGTCACTGTCCAGCCAGACCCTCCTGTTGTGGAGGTGAGTGGGCCCAGAGGCGAGTTCCCGCTGGGGCCTGGGGGAGCCTGCTGCTCCAGGGGTGCCCTCAGAGGAGGCTACTATGAGGCGGCCCTGCACCGGGTGATGGGTATCCTTTGTGCAGTTTGGGAAAAGCCTCAGGTGCTCCTTGTGGGGTCTGCATGGAAGCCCTGGACCTCGGGGACAGCTGTCCAGGCCTGGACTGTCTCTTCCCCGGGCACCACTGGTGGCATCTGGCAGCCAGGCTGCATCTGCTTGTTGACCTGTGGGCTGGAGCTGCTGGTTGACATTTCTGGCTTCTACTGGGGGCCCTCTCAGTGCGCTCAACAGACCCCCAGATGCCAGGACCTGTTTCCACAGCCGGCCGCCTGTCACCCACCAATGTGGATGGGAGAAGCCATCTGAGCCCTGAGCCACTGTGTTCCCATCTGGGATGGTGGTGTGGGCGAATGTGCTAAGGGGAGGGGACCCACACCCTTGTCCCCAGGAGGCTGTGGGTGAGTGCCAAGCGCTCCTCCCCAAGCCTCAGGCTGAAGCCGACAGAGGAGGCAGGAGCCGGTCATGCTTAGTGTTTTATTTCATAAAACAAGCCTGGCCATGGCCTCCAGAGCTCCTGCTGCCAGCATTCCGGTTCCCACTGCCCCCGCCGGCCAGCTTCCTTTCCGTCTCTGTCACCATTTTCTTTTCACAAGTCCACACCTTCCGAGCACTTTCAGGGTCAATGAGTGTTAGACATAAAGGGCAGCTACAAAGTCTAGCTTCACTCCGTGCACAGGACCGCGACGCCACGCTCGTAGAAGCTCCGAGGGTCCTCCTTGGTGGCGATCTCGAAGTCCACAGTGAAGATCAGGTCTGCGCGGGTGAAGTTCAGGTAGACAGGCAAGGTCACCTGCAGGAAAAGAGGAGGACGTGTCCAAGCAGGCCTGGCTCCAGTGCAGGGCAGCCTTGCCTGCTCACTGGGTGTCTTGCAGAGCCCGACCACAGCCAGGGAGGGTGGCCACTCACCACATTGGCCTTTTTCTCGGGGCTGGTTTGCTTGACCCAGCGCAGCTGCGTCAGGGGCAAGACGGTGGAGATGGCGTTGGAGAGCGACAGCTTGTTGTTGCTGCACGTGGCCCCCTGGAGCTTCAGACCTGCCAGGTAAGGTGAAGCACCCCTGAAGTGGAGCCCCATCACTTTCAACACACACCCTCGGAGCAACAGCCAGGGCCACCGTGGACACATGCCAGTGAGGAAGCGCCACGCAGGGGCTGGGCCCGAGCTCCACACAACTCCAGCTCACCTGTGACCCCGAAGCTGCAGGCATCGAGGGTGGCACTCTGTGAGGTGGTGACGTTGACCTCCAGGCAGAGCTCCTCCAGGGACCAGCTGTTGGCCTGGGCCACATACTGCCTGGTGGCGGTGATGTAAGCCTCAGGCACAAACAGGCCGCCCAGACACACGTGGATGTTCTGTGGGAAAAGCCGCCGGGAAGGAGCTCAAGTGAGTGGGGGCTTGTGCCTGTCCCTAGAGCTGCCCGAGGCTCCCTGTGGGAGGGGCTGCTCCTCCCCGTGGACTTCCAGAGTGTGGCTCCCCACCTTTAGCTCCTTGGCACCCCCGGAGGCAGCTGCCAGGGAGATGTTCTGCAGCTGTTTGATCCGCTCGCTGAAGTCTGACACCCACTGGATGACGGTCATCCCAGCAGGTACTGTGTAGTGGGACCAGCTCCGGGGCAGAATCCCTGCAGCACAGAGAGACCTGGGCTTAGCACCCACGGGGCCAAGCTGTGAGGGCTCGAGACTCCCACCGAGATCCAGGGTGCTCGCCCCCTCCTCTGCACCCAGCCTACACCCAGGATGGCCCAGGCAGTCTCCAGTGCAGCTTCCAGGCCAGGTCAGCTGGGGGTGAGCGTGTGTGGAGGGCCACCATCAGAGCCAACCACACCACAGCTAAAAACCCGCACAGTGGCTCAGTGCTCTGGGCACACAGGCTCTCAGGACAAGCGCGAGAACCCTGGGGCCTCCAAACCCACACCCTCCCAGGGCACCATGCCCAGCAGGCTCCCGAGGCCAGGCCTGACCAGGGCCCTGTGGCCTGTGTGGACAGAGTCCCCAGATAGCGGGCCTGGATGGCAGCCCCTGGTGAAGGCCTGGCCACTGTGACAGCCGCATCTCAGCACCTTTCACGAGCTCGTTGATGAGCGTGCGCAGGTAGTTGGTCTGCTTCTTCTTTCCTTCGCACACCTGGACGACATCAGCCAGGTCCTGGCGCACGTCTTGGAGTAATTTGGCTCCCATCTTCACTTCTCTCTCAAAGAACCTGAACAAAGGATCCTAAACTCATCCAAAGAGGAGAGGAGGCCAGAGAGAAGAGAATTAGGCGAGGTCCCTTCTTCAGCAGGAACGGGAGAGGGGTGACCTCTGGGGAGCCTTGGACTCCCAGCCCACCCAGAACTGCTGGCTGCCTTAGTTGGAGACTTGGGGTGGCCTGGCCAGCTGACTGCCCTCAGGAGGACTAAGGGTCACTCTCCTGTCTCATGGAGCCCAAAGGCTGCCAGGCACCAAGCGCGAGCCTGTCTGAGGCTGGACTTGCCAGGACCCCGAGCCTGCAGCAGCACCGGCTACCTTGATGTTCTCCACGGTGCGCTTGAGGTGGCTCAGCGTCTGGGGGATGAGGTGCAGCCAGTTGGAGGCTGTGGTGTGCAGTGTCCTCATCCAGGCGGGGCGCCCGTCGGAAGTGGAGTCCGTCCTCGTTTTCTTCTCGGTCTCTGCGTATGCCAGGTCGTCCTCGTCCTCCAGCATCTGCATCTTCAGCATCTTACTGATCATGTCCACGCCTGGGCACGGTGCCAGGGGCAGGCAGAGGGAGGGAAGCACAAAGGGGAGGACAGACTTGAGCGTCAAGGCGACGGTGGGGTCAGCTGGAGAAACTGCGCGGCCTCCAAGGCCCTGCCGTGCCCGCCTTCATTTCCTTGGTGCAGGGGACGGCACCTGGGGCTTTGCAGTGCTAAGCACCTGCTTTACCACCCAGCTGGTTCCTGATCGTAGAGCACAGGAAATGGCTTGGCCAGAAAGGTAAGATGACAAATGCAGAACGACTGTCACCTGGTGACGTTCATGGCTGGCAAACCTGAACCAGTGCTGGGCATGGTGCAACTTGGAGGCTGAGGCAGGAGGCTCAAACTTCAAATGAGTTTAAAGCCAGTCTCCACAACTTAGCGAGTCCCTGTCTCCCAGTGAAAAAGGGCTGGGAGGCAGCTCAGTGGTGAAGACCTGCGATTTGATCCTCAGTGCCAAAAACCCAAAATGGAACTACCCAGTTGGGTGCATAGACTGAAGAGAAACTCTTCTAGACCCAAGGGCTCTTGTGCCCTCTCAGGACACGGGAAGGGTGATTCTGTGCTCCACGAGCCCCTCAGCTCTGTGAACGCAGAACTGGCCACCATAGGGCCTTGTGGTGCCCTTCGCCCGCGGCTTCCACACTGCCATCCACTCTAGGGGATTCCTGAACTGCACGGTGCCGCCCACCATGGCCAGATTTTCCTGGAATGCCAATCCCAGCTGACTGAAGGCCCCTCAGTGTGGGGCTCTGGGTGGTGGCCGCCCTGTCCCACTGCCCATCCACTGACAGCTGAGGGCCAAGTGCCTGAGCTGCTAGCACCGCTGCCTGGACCCTGGCTACTGGTCCAGGCCAGCCTCTGCTATGTTCTCCCATGGGACTGGGTGTGGTGATGGGCAAGAGGCTCCTGACAGTGTCACTGGGTCATGGGGTTCAGACAATAGTCCTTGCATCATTGAGGTGGGAGGGTTCAGGGCAAGTGGCCCAGCATTGAACCGACAAAGTCAGAGCCCCAAACCACCTAACCTACTGGATCCCTGTGGTGGCCAGGCCTCAGACCTTCCTTGTTTCCTAGCTAAACCCACATGGCCACAGCTAAGCATCCTGCTTCTTTGAGTGAACAGGTGGCGTGCGTGGCTCTGAGGCCTGAGGCCGGTGTGCTTGCCCTTCCCTCTGGGCAGTGGCTCCTCTTCACAGAAGCACCGGCAGGCACCCAGGCCGACCCAGGCGAAGGTGAGCCATGGCATAGAAGCACAGCCTGCAAGAGTCCGACCTGCCTGCATCTACTCAGGTGAGCCGCCTGGGCCAGTCTCCTCTATTCTGGGCTTCTCTCTCCTAAAAGACGACCACTCCTCAGACGGTGTCTTAACTGCCTTCTGGCTCAAAGCACTTCTGAACATCTTGGAAAATAAACTTTGTAAATAAAAATAATAACTGCTGAAGAAAAGTGACCGATGGTTTTATGGTGTCACTTCAGGGCTGGGGTGTGGCTCCGTGGAAGAACAACTGCCCAGCCCGCACCTGGCCCTGGGCGCCATCCCCAGCACCAAGAAAATAAATAAGTAAGTAAATAAGTCACTAATACCAGGTACTATTCAACCCTTGAAGAAGAAAACTCATTTCCAAGGCAGGCAGTTCCCACGCGCTGAGCCAGCACCCCTGGCCAGGGGCTGTAGCAAGAGGCCACGCAGGCCCAGCCCCACCTAGAACACAGTGGCGGCAGCAGCGGGGCTGGGGCAGTGCAGATCACCCACCCTGGGTGGTGAGGAGGACCCTCTCCGCGTTGTTGGGCAGGCCCAGCCAGGACGGCGTCTGGGTGTCGGGGAGCAGCTCCACCCACTGCACAAACTCCTCGCGCCTGGAAAACCGGCACATTTGGGGTCAGCATTAGAGGCCATGTGGGCAGTGCCTCCCATCCAGGACCACACTCCCCAGGGAAGGCAGGGGCTCACCTGATGCCGTCGGGCATCTGAATGTCCTTGTGCCCATCGACCTTGCACGCCAGCTTGAACTCGCTGTCAAAGCTCCTGGTGGTGAACAGCCGCTCCAGGAAGGTGTTGAGCAGACGCTGATCGAACTCGTTGTCCACCCGCCCGCCGTAGATGGACTGCGCCATTAAGGTCTTCAGGGCAGACCACGGGATTTTATCGGGTGAGATGTTCTGCCTGCCCTGGGGTGAGGAGTGGTCAGGTCACACTTGGGCCAAGGAGAACCCACTTCAGCCAGCAGGTGCCACTGTCCGCTGTGCTCTGCTGCTGCTAAGCTCAGCCTGTCCCTCGGACACTAGTCCCTCCGCTGCCCTCATGACCTGTGGCACCGCCCACTTGCCTTGGCCGTGTCATCCAGCCACGTGTCCACTGTGTCGCAGGCTGACCGCAGGTCAGACTCTCCAAACTCGTACTTCTTTGACCAGCCCAGGGGTGCGTAGCGCAGGCGCTCCTGGATGACGGCGTGGAACCAGGCCAGCAGGAAGTACAGGCGGGCACGCTCGTTGGGAGACTAGAAGAAGTGACAAGGACAGGCATCATCAAAATCACACAGAAACAGTGCAGACGCCACATCAGAACCAAAGCCCTGCCTGCCAGGAGCCGTCCACACTGTTACCTGGGCCACCCTCTAAGTGATATGGGGACTGCTGGTAGAAGATGCCATCCAATGACACTTGAAAAAAATGTATTCAGACAACAGAAAACAATACGGAGACATTTCTTGAAAACACGGATCACAGCACAAAATAAAAAAGCACTAAATACAGAAAAAATTAGCCCTAGGTTTTTTTTTTTTTTTTTTTTTAAATGGTACTGGGTCTTGAACCCAGGGATACTCTACCACTGAGCTACATCCTCGTCCCTTTATTGTAATTTGAGACAGGGTCCCATGAGGTGGCACAGGCTGGCCTCCAACTTGTGATCCTCCTGCCTCAGCTTGATGCAAGATTCTTGCATAATCCCCTTCCTCTTGTCCAAGCCCTTGTCAAGTCTGCATTTGGTGCTGGGAGAATTCTGTGTGGCCCCAGGGCACCCATGTTGGGTCCTGGTTCACCATGGGCCAGTCTGCTCCTTCAGGAGTGACTGCCATGCCCCAGGCCCACGGTGCACATGGATATTCACCTTGTCACCTGTGCACAGGAAGGAAGTGCTGCCCATCGTTAACCAGTAAACACATCATGCAGTTTACCACGAGGAACAGCTGGGATGAGAGGCCTGCTTCTGAGTTCAGAGAAGGGACCTTGTGTCTGTGTGCACAGGAAGACGGCATCAGGAGGACCTGCTCTTTACCTTGCATATCCGTGAGACAGGGATGCTGCTAAACGTCCGTAGCATGTTGGCCTTCACCCCCGGCGGTGGTTCAAACACAAAGATGCGACCCGCACGGAGCAGATTCACAGGCACCTGGGGAGGACACAGTGCCTGTGACCACGCTGCTGGACGTGCAAGCAGTCGGCACAGGAGGCCAGGCCGTGCACTAGCACCGAGTCCCTGTCTTCACTCACCTTGGGGTTGATCTCCATGGTGAGGAAAAGGCGGAAGCAGGCATGTGGCTGCAGGGAGTGCAGTTTTTTCTCCAGCTGCATCAGCCACCCTGGGGCCAGGTGCACGTTCTTCAGCATCACCCACCTGCACACAGGAGAGCCACCGCCACATGTGGGTCCCTGCCAGAATTCTTGGGGACGTGGGTTTTTAAATCAAATCCAAGCAGGCCTACCTGCCCGACTTCACAGCGGTGTTTATCGCCTTATCTGCTTGGTTAAAACCTTCTGCTGAGCCTGGCACGAGGGAGCTTAGTGTCAGCAACAGCAACTCGGTGCTCCAAGGCCACCATGGCCCCGTGAGACCACCGAGAGCCCTTACCAATCGCAATGGAAGTGATCTGTGTGTTCTGCTCGGCTGCGAGGTCCTCCACGTGCCCGCTGGCGTCATACCCAGGCACAGAGCACATCAGAACAGGCGTGTTTGGCTTCACCTGCAGTTGAAGGAGGCAGAAGTGAGAGAAGAAGACATCATGTGCCTGTCAAGGGGTGTCCCAGGGTGTGGCCGAGATGCAATCTCTGGGCTGAGGAGAGGGCAGCAGAGAGCTGGGCAGGTTAGGGTCCTAAGCAGTGCCTGGTGTTGGAGAAGACTGCAGCCAGGAGGCAGAGCAGAGCTGGGGGAGTCGAGGGTGGGCAGCTGCTGGTGGGAAGTCAGGGGCACGGGGCTAGGGCATTACCTCTGTGCCCACAATGTGGGTCAGGTCGAGCGGCTGCTCCATGATGGACATGAAGGACTCCCCCAGGTTCGTGGACACAAACACATGGGCCATGGCCAGCAGGCGATCAGGCCGGAAAGCCTGGATCAGGAGCAGGCGGTGGACAGCCTGCCCAATGGGAGCTGAAATGAAGTGTGCAGCTAGCTGAAGGACACGATCGTGCCGGTCAGCTGGTCCACCCAGAGCACCTGCTGCCCCAGCACAGGGTGCTCCAGATGCGGTGAAACCCCACCCCAAACCTCTCGTTCTCCTAGCCTAGAGGACTTCCCCACCTCCTGCTGCTTCTCCAGCCCTGAACACCCTGCGACAGGACACACCTTGGTGCCATTTGTTGATTATTTACTTACTTGTAAAATGTGCGATCACAAGAGGGTCCCTCAGTTTTAACACTGAACTACTCACCTTGGGAACCAGTGGCTTGAAATTTTTGGGAATGTCACTTCAAGCAGAAAACCCCTCACTTAAATTCAGGCCCAGAAAGGAGACCCCAGGGGCTGGGACACCACTCACTTGCAGGAGTCTCCTCACTCCAGAGGTAGGGCACTGTCTGTTCCGGAGAGCTGCTGTCCAGCCAGATGCCAAATTGCTGTGGAGACAACACAGAGAGCACTGTGGGACAGAGCTGGCACTTTGGGTAGTACTGGGGAATGAAACCCAGGGCCTTGCCCTCCCAGAGCTGACCTCGCGGCAGAGGCCGAGTGGGCACACAGGAACGCACAACCCAGCACTCGAGGTTATGCAGCATGCCACCTTTATATTTTAAAATATTTAGTTGTAGATGGACACAATACCTTTATTTGTTTATTTTTTATGTGGTGCTGAGAATTGAGCCCAGTGTCTCACATATGCGAGGCAAGCACCTTGCCACTAAGCCCCAGCTCAAGCCCCAGCATGTCATCGTTACTGCCAATTCCTGGGATGAGGCCGAGCGTCCCAGTGGTCCATCCTGAGGAGTCCCTACCTCATCTGCCTGAATCTTGGAGATCAGGTCTCTGAATGCAGGAAGACAGCTCAGCCTCACGACGGCCTCTGCCTGCTCCACCGTCAGCCCCTGGATCTTGGGGGTGGACCCTGCGCTCAGAACCATCTCTTTCCCTCTCAAGAAGTGCTGGAACTCTGCATCATAGGTGGGCTCCCTGAGGAGGGTGGACAGGCAGGCAGACCTTAGATTCACTTCTGTTGGCTTAAGTCAATGTACCCTCAAGTGAAGTGCCAGTACCCACAGAGTGGCCTTACCCCATGGTGCCCTTCAGTTTGATTCTGGCCAGCAGCATGGCGAAGGTGATGTGATCCTGATGCAGCATGCCTCTTGCCACCCGGTTAAACGCCACCTGAGGACACATGGACATGCATGTTCCTCAAGTGTTTTTTTTTTCTTTATATATATTTTAGCTGTTAATAGACCTTTATTTTATTTATTTATATGTGATGCTGAGAATCGGACCCAGGGCCTCACACATGCCAGACGAGTGCCCTGCACTGAGACCCAGCCCAGGGCCCCACACATGCTGAACAGAACTCCTCCACTGAGCTACCCGACACCCCTGCCTCGACAGCGGGTCGTTCACCTGGAAGAGGTCCTTGGTTATGATGGAGAGGCGCTGGGTGTGGTCGGTGATGCCCTTCAGGTTCGGGTTCTCATACAGGACGTTGTGGTAGATGTCCAGGAAGAACTGCAGGGAGTACTGGTACAGGAAGTGGATCTGAAAGGAGGCACAACGTCAGGCCACCCAACTGGTACCACACAGAGGCAGCAGGCCCCAGCTGGGTGACCCAGGGTGTCAGGTCACCTGCTTCAGGGACTCCATAGTGAAGTAGATGCTGCTGCAGGCGGTGGAGAGCGGCAGGTACTGCTGGGACACCGTCTCCACCTCCTGCATGACGATGTCCGTCTCCTCCACTTTCCTGGTGACCTCGGCAGCCTCCCTCTTGAGGTTCTCCAGAGTTGTTATGATTGTGTCGTCATCCAAAATGCGCCCCTTCACCTCATTCAGAGCTTGTAGCAGAGACTTTTCCAGCTGACGTAACCGTAGCTGGAATTCTCCTGCAGTGACACAAACACACTTTGCTGTAATACAATTTGTTCAAAGGAAAGAGTGCCCTCCCAAGTGTGCAAACTCAACCACTGGGTCTGCCCAGTCCCTCTGGTCAGCCTCCTTGCCTGCACCACCCCTTGCAGGTGGGCCACAGGCCCATACCTTGAAGCTTCAGGAGGTCAGAACGTTTCTCGTCCACATCGGGTCTTTCTGCTTTGAGGACCTCATTGAGACACTGGCTTTGCAAACTGCTTCGGGTGACTGTGAAGTTCACAAAAGTAACCCGCGAACAGAGATCCGGTGGGAACTCAACCTGCCCAAGTGTGCAGCAAAACAGTCTTTACCCTGCTGCCAGACCACATGGCCAGCGCTCCCCTGTGAACCACCTCATTGCTTACTGTCGGGTCCCGGGTGGACAGGAAGATGACGAATGACGGCGACAGGTCTATGTCCTGGTCACCCAGGGTAATCAGCACTCGCCCCCCGGTTCGCCGGACTTCGCGGTTCAGGACTGGATTTAACACTGGGTCATAGCTTTCCACATCCTGGACGGCACAGGAAGAAAGCCAAGCTCACCTTCAGGTGACTGTGTGCACTGTGACTTCCCACCTAGAAGCCACCAGCCACTTAGACCTGCACGGCCTCATAGGTCTACATGTGGCTGCTTAGAACTCAGCTCTTAGTCACATTGGCCACAGAGGTGCTCAGTAGCCAAATGTGGCTCGTGGCCCCTGGGCTGGACACCTGACTGTGAGACATGTCACCACATAGTATGCTCTGGTGGGCAGTGATGACCTCGATCCTCTAAACGGAATTCTAAATGCAAACAGTGCTTTTGTTTGATGTGTGTGTGCATGCGTGTGTACACACATACAAATAATATATTTAAACATATATATACATATGTATATATATCTCCAATAAAAAATTTTTTTTTTTAGTGATACTGGAGATTGAAACTTTCTCCTGGTTCTGATAGCAAACCAATTCTAATGTTGCCAGCATTTGCACATGGTTTAGTGTTACTTTACATCAACTGTATTTGAAGAAAAGTAAACATAGCCCTAAAAGGAATTCACTCTCAGAAGCAGGTCTCAAGAATGTAGACATAAACACCAACCTGGACCAGAAGAGGGTTGCCAAATCTCAGCGCACTCTCCAGATTCTTTCTGAAGGCATCATCCAAGAAACTGGTACGTGTTATTTTACGATCCTTATACTCATTCATAATGAATTCCGTGGCTTGTCCGGAGGGGTCAATGATCAGTGGATACCTGAGGATGAGGCCACAGAAGACAGGTTATTAAGTCCAGCAGGGAAAGCAGGGTCCTTGACAAGACAGGAAGTAAGAAAGGCCATCACCACCACTGAGGGTGACTGCTGGACATTTCCAGATTCACCAGGAAGACAGACAAGACTTGAATGCTTCATGTGCGATGGAGTCACCCCTACGGCATGGTGGCCTTGCCTATGATCCCAGCAACTAGAGGGGCTAAGGCAGGGGGACCCCAAGTTCTAGGTTAGCCTTAGCAATTTAGTGAGGCCCTATCTCAAAATAAGAAGTAAACAGGGCTGGGAGTATACAGCTCAGTGGTGCAGCACCCCTGGGTTCCATTCCCAGTGCTGCGGTAGGAGGTGGGGACCCATAAGCTTGAGTCATCTGCTGTAGAACTGTGACAAGCAGGTTGTGCTCAGAGCACCCTGCTTCTCTCCCAAGGCCAAGCAGCCCACGTCTGCATCTGCTACCCTCCCAGCCAACGGCAGAGGCAGGCATTAACAACAACGCCACGGCATCACTGGAGGGTCCTGGGGGCGGCTGGGGATAGATAGGCTGCAAGCCTAGCAAGCGCTCTGCCTTCGCCACACCAAGCCCAGCAGCATTGGAGGGGCCAGCATCCAGGGCTGGGGAGTGGCCCTGGAGTAGAGTCTGGCTAGCACGTGTGAAACCTGTACCACAGAGGAAAGATCTGGCTTCTTAGTGTTTGCATGGGCATCACCTTGTCAAGTGAGATGCCATCCCATCACTCACAACCAGACTGTAAGACAAGAACTGTCCCCAACTCCACCTCATTAGGAGGAAAGAAAGGCACAGAGGGGCTAGAGTCAAGGGTCAGCTGGCCAGAGACCCCAACAGACCCCACACCAGGTGGTAATGATTCCTGGCTTGTGCAGAATTTGGACGCTGGCTGTTGAAGATCCTTCCAACCTCTGGTCACCAGATCCCCTCCCCAGGTGCCTGTTTTAGCAGGTGTCACTCCACTACACAGGCAGGCTCAGGTGTCCAGTCACCTGTTGAGTGTCCTGGGGACACCGAGCTCCCTCCAGTCTTTTGGCTGGCACCTGTATCCTACAGGCTTTGCATTTTCATTTGTACCAGGCAACTGCTGAGGACACCCAGGGGCGGGACTCCAGGTCAAAGGCTGGGGGGTTTCTCATGTAGACAAAGGCAGCCCCACACACAGACTGTATGACTGACTGGTGCCATGCAGCACAGCCCGCAGGCCGATTCCAAATGGCCTCTGGCAGAGCCAACATGGTTTTTTGTCCTCAGGACAATGGCACACAGGAAGGGCTCAGCAGAGGTTTGAAGATGCTTGAAGATGTTTACGTGGGGTTAGGAAGAAGTCTGGGACGTTTTTCAAGCCAGGGGACTCGTTCTGGTTGCAAGTCCACTCACTCTCAGGGTGAGGGGACTTGATGCAGTTGGTCCTGAGGCTTCCCTGTGGCTTCTTGCACCAGGCCCACATTCCCTGCAGTTATGTTTCACTTCTGCTGTGGTTTGCTTTCTCTTTTCTTTTTAGACAGGATCTTGCTAAGTTGCTGAGGCTGGCCTCGAACTCACAATCCTCCCAGCTCAGCCTCCTGAGTAGCTGGTATTACAGGCACGCATCACCACACCCAGCTTTATCCCAGCCTTCCACAGGGAAACACGGAACAATTTTCCATTTAGCTAACTATTTCAAGTTCTTAGAGTATTTTAAGAGGACTGTCAATGTCCACTCCAACACCCAACTGCCAATGAATTTTAAGAGGTTACAGAAAACATTCATTGTGAACAATTCAGATCACCATGCTGTGAGAATAAAAGGAACCGTGCACACCCTGCTGCCAGTGACGAGGGCCAGCCTGCCAGCACTGCCTGTGTGACACTTCCTACTCCTCCCTCCTGAAGAGGGGCTTTGGGAACAGAAATGTACCCTCCCCACATCCTGCCCTGCTTCTTGGTGTCCGAGCACTTACCTGTTGAACCGTTTCAGCATGATGGCATTTTCTGTGCACAGGTCATCAGCAGGCAGGGAGCTGGCTTGCCAGCGAAGCCGCTCGTCAGCATTGGAGAGATACTCTGTCCTCGCGATGTCTGTGCGGAACTGAAAGGCGAGGCTGGTTATCTCTCCCTCACCCAGCTACACTGAGGTGGGGCCCTCAAGCCCCTCCAAGCCTGCTCCTCGTCGGTCTGGCCCACACCTGCTGGCAGTGCCCCGGGACCCACCTGGATGTTGGCTTGCTGTAAGTGATGGGACCAGGTGGTGAACAAGTTCTGCCGCATCTGCTGGTCAAAGTAGCCTGCATAAGCAATGAAGGCAGCTGACAGGAGGCAGTCCCCAGCAATGGTGGACATCTGGTTTTTGAAAGTTTCACTTGTTTTTTCCCATCGTTCGCGTTCAGCAGACAGACTTTTCAGAAGAGCGGTGCTCCGGTTCACCTAGGAGGGAGAGCGAGGAGCAGCTCAGGCAGCTGCCTTCCGGCTGCACCTTGAGGGCCGCAAACGAGTTTACCCATATCCCACACATGTGCAGGGCTCTGGGTGGCTGGAAACCAACTCTGGTACATGGGCCCACCTATGTGTGATGTCAACACAAGCGTCGGAATCTCATCAGGATGACAGTAGAGGATAGGGCATCCCCTCTCAGCCCTGGGACACATGCAGAGCTGGGTATGGGAGGAAAGGGCCTGAGGTGAGGCAGGGCTGGGTGAGACCAAAGGAAGGCAGCGTGGCAGAAGATGTGGAGCCTACTTTGATGATGGGGATGGGGAGGGAGAGGGAGAGAGGTGTGTGGAGGCAGCGGGGGAGGACTGTCCAGCTGGTCTCTGTCCTAGCACTATGTGGTTAACACCACCAGACACTAAAGCGCTAATTCGCCGAGATCCAGATGGCCTGGGGGGCTGAGGAAACATCTGGATCTCGGCTTCCACTGAGGGTGGCCAGGAGCCCTGCTTCCAGAGCAGGTTGAGACCACCTCCAGGAGCCGCAGGCAAGGCGGCAGGCAGGCTGAACACACTGGCTTACCTTGGCTTCCACAGCCGCCAGGTCGGCCTTGATGGCTTGGGCCTCAGAGATGAGCACCGCGTACTCCTCCTTGTAGCGGGCGATGCTGGCCTCCAGGTCCCGGATCATCTGCTCCACCTCGTTGGCCTTCTGCTGGTTGTCCTTGGCGTCATCTTCCAGCTTCTGCAGCTCGTTTCGCAGGGGCTCCACCCTCTTCAACATGTCTGCATAGTTCAGCTGGGAAAGTCAAGTTGTCAGCGGCCATTCAGAAGAGGCAGGAGAGGAGTCACCTTTCCCACAAGCCAAGGCCGGGTCTTACCTGTGCGATTGCCCATTTCACCATGGGGCCGCACGCCAGGGAGGCCCGGTTGACGATCTCGTAGTTGTAACTCGGATTGGACATGTAGTTTTTCTTCATCTTCTCCCTTATGGCATCACTGCAAAAGGGGAATTTTTATTTCTAAGCACAGGGAGGACAAAGGTGAAGTGTTTTCAGGAAGCTGAAAAGTGAAGGACATAGCCAGTGCTTGTCTCCCTTCCCCAGGGAACGCGGTGGGGAGCCACACTAACAGCTGGTTCTCGGGAAAGTGGATGCTGATGGAGGGCCGTGGACCTTCTGGTCCCTGCCCCTTGTCCCACAGGAGAGAGACCCTCAGGCCAGTTTTGCCATAAGAGGATGGGACCCTTGCTCTGACTTGAGCAAAGGGCTGTATCCTCACAGTGCTCACCCCTGGTGGAAGAGAGCTGACCGGCAAGGTGGAGAGGCCAGGAAAGCACTGGGGAACTCGGCCTTCTGCCGAGGGGACAGCCTTGGGAGGCGCTTGAGGGGTTGGGTAACCTGCACTCCTTTTGTGATGCCATCCCTCAGGAAAACCTCATCGCCAACAACGCTCAGACACCACCTCCATTCCCAGTGCCAAGCCAGCTCCCACGCCCACCTGATCTCCTCGGCCGAGAAGTTGACGATGGTGGGAATGAAGTTCTCACGCATGATGATAGAGCGGATCTGCTTCCAGTCAGTGGTGCTCTCGCCCAGCAGCAGACAGATGGACTCCAGCGCCAGCTTCACAGCAGCAGGAGGGTTGGCCATGGAGCGCACTTCCACCAGGTGCTGCTTCTTGATGGACTTCACGGCTGGACCCAGCAGGTGTGCAGGATGCAGGGACAGAGGGCAAGGCAAGGAGGAGTGAGCCACCACAGCCAGGCGGCTGCTCACAGGGTCCCCTAGGGCAAGGCTGTCTCTAGTCCTCTGAACAGAGGTGCTAATCTTGTAAATGACTAAGGGGGCCTTACGTACTCAGTCTCCAGGCTCCCTGAAGAGCAGGATATTGCTTTAAAAATACCTCACAACAGAGTGGGGGGCTTAAGGGCAGTTAGTTTGCCTAGCCATGGATTCGATCCCCAGCACCAAAAAGCAAAACAAAATAAAATGCCCTACACATTCTAATTTCTTTATCTCCAAAATAATGTAATGGTATGTTACTTTATACAATTTCAACAAAGACCTTTTCAATCCGTTACGGTGTTGAATGCAGTATCGCCTAGGAATGAACCCAGGGGTGCTCTACCACTGAGCCATGTCCCCAGCCCTTTTTATTTTTTGAGACAGGGTCTAAATTGCTTCAACTATCGAGATCCGCTGCCTCAGCATCCCAAGTCACAGCAATTACAAGTGTGCACTGTCGTGCCCAGCAAGGCCCCAATAGTTACTGGGTGAACTACAAACCAACAAAGATTTGCAGGCTTCCTTACACAGGCATGTAAGGATGGCAGAGTGAGTTGTGAGCTGCAGATCCCAGAACTAGTGGCCACTGGCTAAGAGCAGGCAACACTGAACACTTATTGGTACTTTTTTCATGAAATTCAAGCCAGGGGTTGGCAAATAGCATATTTACATAAGCATCAATAGATCTTTAAAAATGCATTGTGATATTAAGCTTATTTTGCCAATTTCCTATTACAGGAAGGGTCTCACTACATATGGTAAGTAGAGACTGGCTTCAGGGGAACTCTGCTGTAAGAGATGGTATTATGGTTTAGATGTGAGGTGCCCCCAAAAGCTCATGTGTGAGATTTGAGTACAAGAAGGTTCAGAGGAGAAATGATTGGGTTAGGAGAGCCTTAACCTAATCACTGAATCAATCCCCTGCTGGCTGGAGGAGGTCGGCACTGGGGGTACAGCTCTGGGCTATATATTTTACACCTGGTGAGTGGAGTTCCTTTCTCTTCTTCCTGACCATCACGTGAACTGCTTCCCTCCAGCACACTCTTCGGCCATGATGTTCTGCCTCACCTCTAACCCCAATGTTGAGACCTCTAAAACTGTTCTTGTTGGGATTTTTAGTCACAGCAATGAAAAAACTTGACTTAAACAGATGGAGACATCCTGAGTATTTACAAAAGCCTCAGGTATCTGCTAACAATTCTTTGGGTGCACTACCAGCACCTCGAGGGAGGCCCACGTGTGGTCTAATTCACCATTATCTGAGAGGCTGAGGGTCGGCAGCCTTCTGGAAAGCGCAGCTGCGACTGCACTCCCGTACCATTCTGGGCCTCGATGACAGCAGGCTCCACCTTATCGAGATCCTCCTTGACACTCATTTGCTTGTCTGCGATTACTTCCTGCTGCTTGTGCAGCTGCTCCTGAATCTCCTGGCTCATGACCTAGAAAGAAAAGATGGCTCAGGCACAGGGTGAGCCTTGGTCCCCCTGCTGAGTGCATCCTAGTCAGCAGCTCACACAACCCGCAAACCCTACAGCCCACCCCAAACCACCCCTGCTTCCCCACTAGGCTGCACAGGCCCAGTGCCACATCTGTTCCTGGAATAGGAAGCACCTTTTTCTTTTCAGCCTCCTGCTGGTCTTTCACCATCTTTTTCAGCTTGTCGTTGGCTGCTGCGTTCTTCACCTCTAGCTCCTGGCTCTTTATTCTCAAGTCCCGGCGCAGTTCTTCTACCTAAAGAGCAAAACCCATGCTGGGAAACGGGCACACGCACCAGTCACCCTGTCGGGCCTTGCTGTAGCTGCTCGCAGGAGTGAGGCATGTGCCTTGCCGTACCTGATCAACAGTTTCTTTGATTTTTCTGAGCCCGACGTTCAAGTGCATCTGCTGCTCCTCCAGCTCGCTACGCTTCTCGTGGAACAGGTTGGCATAGTGATTGATGAAGTCCAGGTAGTGGCGAGGCGTGATGGCCATTGTCCTGCCTCCCCGCTTTGCTAGCCGAGCGTTAGCCTTTCAGAAGATAAGTTAAACCTTTTCATTTTTCAGGATGCTCTCTGGGATTTAACCTTAGAAACTGCTAACTGTTCCACTTTGACAGACCACAGCATGATGCAGTGGGATGAATCAGTCCTCAGGGGTCAGAATACTTCAGCTGGCTTCAGTCACTTACATGCTCTCAGAACGCACCCTAAGAGCCAGGTGAGGTGGCACAGACCTATAATCCCAGTGACTTGGGAGACTGAGGCAGGAGATTTGCAAGTTCAAAGCCAGCCTTGCAACTTAATGAGGCCCTAAGCCATTTAGCAAGACCCTGTCTCAAAAAAGTAAAAGGTCCAGGGATGTGGCTCAGAGGTTAAGTACCCCTGGGATGGATCCCCAGTATCAGGGGTAGGGGTAGGGGTGTGGGGACAGCAGCTTCCCAACCTTTAAGCCTTTAACTTCTCTAAAAAGGGTGGTGAGGGTTGGGATTTTGGCTCAGGGGTAGAGCGCTCGCCTAACACGGGCGGGACCCGGGTTCGATTCTCAGCACGACATAAAAAAAATAAAAATAAAATAAATAAAGGCATTGTGTTGTGTCCATCTACAAAAAAGATTCATTTTCTCTCTCTTTAAAAAAAAAAAAAAAAAGGGTGGTGATTGTGCCACTTCAGAGGTGCCCTCCCCATGAACAGGCGCCATACTCTGGATCACCCTGTCAGCGCCAGCATGCCTGCCCACCCCTTTCTTGCTTATTTTCAACAGAGAGACGTGTCGACAGGTGTTGTGGCCATCTGTGATTCGAGGCCCTGGTCTTTGACTAGGAGGGAGCTGCTGGAAGCAGGATGGTGGAAATCACAGCAGCAGAGGGAAGCCTGCACCAGACAACACCCTGGAGGCCACAGACAGCCTGCAGATAGTGGTGACAGGACACTCACAAGCCCACGTGGGTTTTCCTGGCAGAAAGGAATAGTGTGGACTCGTCTGTTCCAGAGATCCTAGTGCAGTGACCAGCAGATCCAAGCCTGCCCGACAGACTCTGCAAGGAGACTGGTCCAGCCCCAGCCCTGTGTTCACATGTGGTCCATGCAGGCTCTCTGCTACTGCAGCAGCACTAAGCAGCTGCCCAGGAACTTGGGAGGCCTGCAGAGCCTTACTCTCTGCTTTTTAAAGAGAATGTGTGTGTCCCCACCGGGCACAGGGGTGTACACCTTGATCCCAGCCGTACGGGAGGCTGAGGCAGGAGGATCAAAAGTTCAAAGCCAGCCTCAGCAAAAGTGAGGTGCTAGGCAACTCAGTGAGTCCCTGTCTCTAAATAAAACAAAACAGGACTGGGGATGTGGCTCAGTGGTCAAGTGCCCCCGAGTCCAAGCCCATGTACCCCCCTTGCCCTCCCCAAAAAGAGAATGCATGTGTCCCAAGGGCAGAGAAGATGGTTGTAGTTTAGAGAGAGCCCATGGGGGCTATAAAGGTCAGGTTGCTCAGAGTTCCCAGCCTGGTGACAAGGATGAGGTTCCATCAAAGAGGTAAGAAGTCAGGCAAGATACAATTCTTCTGCAGTGATGGAATGGTATCAAATCTGATGTGTCACAAGGCCCATTTTCATCTCAGCTGAACCCACCTGGTGAAGAGTCTGGTGGACGAAGACACAGCTGTTCACAATGGCTTCCCGATGTGATGGGGGCTGGGGCAGCTTATCATACACCACGGGCATGTAATCTGGAACAATGTAGTTGGGCTTCTCCAGGTCCATCTTACTGGTGAACTCCTTGCCAACCTGGTACAGTGCTTCAGTGGACCAGTCACCAAACCAATTCAACACACACCTGGAAAAGGTGCCTGTGTCTCAAACGGCCACCAAGAGCAGGTCTGCCTTGAAGGGATACCAACTATTCTGACCCAGACCCAGGAGAGGACCAGCATACCTGTTGAAAAGGGCTGGCGAGGTGGCTGCGCGGTCCTTGAGCCCCTCAGAGGACGGGTTCATGGTGAACACCACATGCAGGTTGCGGATGACCTGGCTGGTGAACCACTTGTAGAGCTCCTCGTGGGAGTCCAGCATCAGGCCCTCCTTCTGGGCCCCCTCTTTGCACTGTGTCATCAGAGTGGCATACTCGTCTCCTTCAAAGAGACCCGGGACCTGGGGAGCAACGCGGCACTGACTTGCTGGCCTCCCAGTGCCAGCTACTAATGGGCAATGGGGCCCGGCTCATGACTCTTACCTCTCCATTGGCCAGAAGGGTGTTCATTCGCTCTAGGAATCCAGAATCTAAGACATTGGATTCGTCCATTATGAATGCGATCTTCTCATTTTTGCAGCCAGAACGTCTCAGTACTGTCCGAAGATCTTCATCAAAATCTTCCCCCGTGTACTTTCTATGGACCTACACAAGTGGTGGGCAAGTTAGGTCCAGCTAACTCAGGGTTTTACCAGGAATCAGGAATCCATTGCTGGATTAAAGGCTACCATCCAGACCCACCTTGATCTGGTACACACTCAAGCCATTCATCCAGGCGACGAACCGAGACAGGGTAGTTTTTCCTGCTCCACTAACACCAATCAGAAGCAAGTGTCCTTGAGGTTGACGGAATATTCTGAAACATTATCAGAGCTGATAAATTTTAGGTTTCCATGCCTCATTCCTCTTTTTTCTTTCTTTTTAAATATATTTTAGTTGTAGATGGACACAATGCCTTTACTTATTTATTTACATGAGGATCAAACCTGGTGCCTCACAAGTGCTAGGCAAGCGCTCTAACACCGAGCCCCAGCCTCAGCCTCCTCAGTCCTCACACTTCTTTAGGATTGTGTCCATATTTGGAAAGTCTTCACTTGAATGTGTATAATAAACATTTGTGGAACAATGGTGTTTGGCCAGGTCCAGTGGGGATGAAAGATCAGTAAGACGTGGGCCTATCCTCCAGACTCTCAAAAGACCTGGCAGGTGAACCCAAATCTGCAGGAGGCTGACAGGGCTCTAACTGATGGTAGCCTACAGTGCTGGGGGGAGAAGAGTGAAGTTCCTCTGGGGACAGAAATTAAGGACAGCTGAGTGAGGTGGTGCATGCCTGGAGTCCAGCTGATCACAACTTCAAGGCAGCTGGGCAACTTAGCAAGACCCTGTTTCAAAATAAAACCAAAAGGGCAGGGATGCAGCTCAGTGGGAGAGTGCTGGCCTAGCATGTGTGGGGCCCTGGGTTCGATCCCTAATCCACAACAATTAAAAACAGAATAATAGTTTAGAACAAGTAAGCTGGACTTGGAAAGATGACAAGGGGGAAGGTGCCTGGCAAAAAGGACTGAGGTGGAGGTGGGGAAGGACAGCATGAGGCCTGGCACGATGGCACACTGGGTCAAGAGCAACTGAGGCGAGGAGCCGGCAGGCACCATCGAGAGACCCACCTGTCAATCCTGAGCACGTGGTCCAGCACCTCATTGAACAGGACCAGAGGAACGTCAAGTTCTTCTTCATAGAAGACTTTTAGCCTAGCTTTGACATAATCTCTTAATTCTTCTTGGTCTACTGGGATATAATCCTATTAAAAAAAAGTTAACATACAAATCATTTAGAGAAAATCAACTGAGTTATTAAAACAAAGTCAACTGTATTTCCTTGACTACGAAGAAACTTGAAAAACATGCTGCAAAAGATAATCATTTTTACAACCCAGCAACAAAACTCTGAGTAGATCCCTTCCTTTTTCCCTGTCTACCTATCTATCCATCATACTGGGGATTGAACCCAGGGGTGCTCTGCACTGAGATATATTCCCAGCCTTTCTAAGTGTTTATTTGAAGACAGGGTCTCACTAAGTTGTACAGGCTGGCCTCAAACTTGTGATCCTTGTGCCTTGGTTTCCTGAATTGCTGGGATTACAGATGTACACCACTGTACTTGGCTTTTTGAATCTATCACTGATTTACCTACCTATTGATCGATTGATCATACCAGGGATTGAACTCAGAGGCACTTGACCACTGAGCCACATCCCCAGCCCTATTTTGTATTTTATTTGGAGACAGGGTCTCTATGAGTTGCTTAGCCCCTCACTGTTGCTGAGGATGGCTTTGAACTCACGATCCTCCTGTCTCAGCTTCCCTGGCCGCTGGGATTACAGGTGTGTGCCATTGTGCCTGGCTAGATATATTTATTTTTGAACCTGCAGAGAAAATTAAAATTTACTGAAAGTCGTCAAGACTTAAATATGTTAAGAGATATACTGTGATCAGGGAGAGAAAAACACTACTATTAAAATGCTGGTTTCATGCAAATTGGTAAAGAGACACTATAATCCCTATCAGAATCTCAGTGGCGGTGGTGGTGGTTTTGGGACAAGCTAATTCCAGGTTTCCTTTGCAGGAGGAAAGGGCTGAGAATGGCCAAGTTCTCCTGGAGGAGCAGCAGGTGTGGGTGCCTGTCCTTTCTGATAGGCATACTGCCATCCTGAGGACAAGGTGGTGTTGGCACAGAAAGAAACAGAGCAGGGGAAGAGGACGGAGCGTCAGAACAGACCCCTGCACAAAGGAAACTGTTGAGATGGGTGACACTGCAGAGCAAGGAGTATGCAATAAGAGTCTGGGATAACAGCTGTCCACGAGAGAAAGACTGAAGATGGGTCCCTAGCTCATGCCACACCCTAACTCAATCAGAGACAAATTAGGGGTTGAAATTATAAACCTTGAAGAATGTTCTTCAAAAGACCTTGAGAGAAAGCGGAAGAAAAAAGCCACTAGGAAGTGTTTCCTATCAATGAAAAAGGATGAGGACTGGTGTCTAGAATCATGTGAAGCTCCAGGGACCCTGCTCGGACGGATCTCCCTGTTTCTGGCTTGTTAGGCCTCTACCCAGCATGCCCTCCCTGACCTCAGCGGCCTGCTGTCTTCAGGAGACAGGGGCTTGCTATGTTAATCTTCTTTAGAGAAAAGAGACAATTCATAGCTGCTCTGGAAATGTCAACTCCAATTAGCATATGGAGTCTTTCACACCAACCATTCACAACTGCTCGAGCACTGTGAGCAGAGTGAAAGCACCATGGTGGTGCGAGGGATTCTCTGTGGCAGTATGCAGTAGACCTGATGTTCCTTGCTGCCCACTGTGGGGCAGGACGCAGGGGGGGCCAACTTCAGAGTGGGCATTGAGATTTAAAAAAAAGAAAAAAAAAATATATATTTTTAGTTGTCAGTGGATGTTTGTTTATTTGCGGTGCTGAGGATGGAACTCAGTGCCTCAGACATGCTAGGCAAGTGCTCTACCACTGAGCCCCAGCCCCAGCCTGGCACTGCTGTTCTGGATAGGGTCTTGCTACCTTGCCCAGGCTGGCCCTGTACTTGCGGTCTTTCTGCTGTGGCCTCCTGGGTAGCAGGGATCCCTGTGCCTGGTGAGGAAGGAAGTACGGGTGAGACAGTGCCTGTTACCTTCGACAGCCAGTTGCTGTACAGGATCGGCCGGCTCATGGCTTTCTCCTTGTCTATGTTGGGAAAGTGCTTCAGGGCAACCATGTCGATGTTCTCATCAGTCCAGCGCCGCTCCTCGTCTTCCACAAGCCTGTGGGTAGGAGAGCAGCATATGTTGGAGCAGTTGGAGGCCCCGGCAAGAGATACCAGGTGTGGGGGGCACGGCACAGTCTTTCCCATCTGGTCAGTTACCACAGGGAGGAGCCCAGGACTCTGGGACTCAGGGCGGCTTAAACAAGCTCAATTTTCCCCTTCCTTTCTTCCTCACCCCTTTTGTTGCCTCAGTATTGGGGGAACCCAGAGCCTCAGGCACCGATCTCTCTCCTTAGCTCTTTTAATTTTAAAAATAAGTCTCGTTGTCTAGGCTGGCCTCAAACTTGCAATCCTCCTGCCTCAGCCTCCCTATCTGCTGGAATTACAGGCATGTGCCTCTATACCAGGCAGATTTTGACATTAATATGAAAACCCTCAGAACTATGGCACATTACGTTAAAAAAAATTCCTCTAAAAACATTTAATTCCAGGGTAGTTTAAGAAATGAAAATATATATAAATTCTGGTTTGGGAATGCAAAAATATAACTTTTTTTTTGAGATGAGAAATGAGGGAGAGGTTTCTCCCTATGCTTCCCAGGCTCGTCTCAAACTCGGACTCATGCAACCCTTCCACCTCAGTCTCCTGAGTAGCTGGGACTGCAGGTGCACATCATTGTTCCTGGTGCATGTAACTGTTCCTGCCTCAAATCTGGTTCTAAGCTTGCTAAAAATAAATGCTTAGGCTGGGGATATAGCTCAGCTGGTGGAGTGTTTGCCTCGAATGCACAAGGCCCTGAGTTCAATCCCCAGCACCGCAAAAAAAAAAAAAAGGTCACAAGAACTCCAAGCAGTGGAGAATGGAACCAACAGGAGCCTTGGCTTCCCTTACCTATCCTGGAAGAGACGGAGGGCTTCATGGGCCCAAATCCGGATGAGGCCTTCAACAGGCAGCGTCTCCAGGGGCCGCAGTGCTTCAAAGATACCTCTGACCCACCTGGTCATTTCACGGGGTGAATAGATATAGTGGGGTTGTGTATCCTGAGTGAATCTCTCCTGTGGGAACGAGAGAAATGGAAGTTGCATGTAAGCATCTTAAGACGTGGAAAAGCGGCTACAGGTAAAATGCTATAAAAATTTTTATATTAAAGACAAAGGATCTAGACCCTGGGATACTTAAGGATTCGATGGTAAACAACCTTAAGGCTGGAACACCTGGGATGGGGATGTGACTCCATGGCAGAATGCTTGACCAACACCTGTGACTCCTGGGTTCCATCCCCAGCACTGCAACTCACCCACAGTGAGTTGAAGCCACTATCAGAATAAAGGTAGAGCCAAGCTTCTCACTTTATGTTAAAACATGTTTAAAGAGCTAAATCTTTAAAAATAAATAACAACAAAATTCTTCTAAAAATACTTAAAAACCAAAATATTGGGAAAAAAAAATATTTGCAGTCCAGGAAAGGGAAGAGCTAGGCACATGGCACCCACCCATCAGCCAGCACCTCGGGAGGGAGCTGAGGCAGGAGGACTGCAAGCTGGAAGCCAGCCATAACAACATAAGAAAGACCCTGTCCCAGAATAAAACAAGGGTAGGGGACGTAGCTTAGTGATAAAACACCCCTGGTGGAAACCCCTGTACTGCCAAAACCAGAACCAGAACCAGAGGGCACCAAGAGCAAGACAGACACACCAATGGAAACCATGTGGCCAGTCACCACTTGTTAAAGGGCAGCCGGGGAAGGCTTAACAGACATGCAAATGCAGACCATAAAAACCACCTCTTGTTAAAGGGGCAAAGACCTTTTCTTAATTTTTTTTTTTTTGGTACTGGGGATTAAACTCGGGGGCACTCGACCACTGAGCCACATCCTCAGCCCTATTTTGTAATTTATTTAGAGACAGGGTCTCACTGAGTCACTTAGTGCCTCACTTTTGCTGAGGCTGCTTTGAACTCACTATCCTCCTGCCTCAGCCTTCTAAGCTGCTGGGATTATGGGTGTGCACTACCACTGCTCCCAGCAACAACTGTTTTTTTTTTTTTTTTAAATATATATATATATTTTGTGTGTGTAGATGGACACAACATAATGCCTTTATTTTTATGTGGTGCTGAGGATCGAACCTGGTCCTGCCTGTACTAGGCGAGCACTCTACCACTGAGCCACAATCTCAGCCCCAACAACTATTTTTTAATGTTGACAAGAGTGGGAGGTAGAGGGGGAGGTGCAGCTGGTGTTGAGTGTAGTGGTCTGTTTCAAGAACATCTGGTGAATGTACAGTCACAACATTCAGTTACAAGCAGACGTGTGGTTAAAAGTGGACAGACCAGGCAGGAATGCGTCAGCCACCTCAGTACCTGCGTAGGATTTTGATGCCTGACCTTGCACAGGGTCTGCTGGCTCACCCAGAGCTCTGAACAAAGCCCAGTTGTTCCAGGTTCTTCAACTACAAAAGATTTGGAGGAGCAGACTCCACCTACCTGGGACATGGTGTAGAACTCCACCATGGCAGCAGTGAGCGGCTCCGCATAGGTCCGCAGGGAAGGGATGAGCCTCAGCATGGCGCGGTTGAAGGTGCCATAGATCTGCGTCAGGGAGGCAGGCCCCGGGTAATCCACATACACGACAGGCACGTGCCGTAAGAACCTGCGCAGGGAAGGCGAGGCTCAGCACCTCTGCTCGAGTGGCAGGTGACTGAGGCAGGGCGCATGCTGCTTGGGTTGGGGTCCAACACACCCCGGTTGGCACAAAAGACTTTACAAAGAATCAAGCCAAGATGGAAAATTCAGGCTGATTTCAGCCTTGTCTCTGTCCTACAGATGGTGTAGGGCAGCTCGTCACCACCCAGAAGGTCAAAGCAGTTTTTTGTGGGGTGCTGGGGGCTGAATCCAGGCTTGCATGCACTAGGCAAGGGCCCCATCACCGAGCTGTAGCCCAGTCCTGGTGACTGCATCTGTACCATGCCTCCAGCAGCTCCAGCACAGAGCCAGCGACCTGGAGGAAGCTGTGGCAAGCCACCTTGTCACCTTTACAATCCAAGCCAAAGTTTTGTCGGGCCACATTTATGGGCTTCCAGGAACTGGTGTGCAAGCAGCCAGAGTGGCATTACCTGTGTGAGAGGGGTTTTCTTCCAGGGTCGGTGGGTGGATTACAAGCCCCCACAAATTGGATTCTCTCCAGCTTCACCCATGTTTGATCTGAGGTGCGGTAAAAGCCTCCATGCTCCACCATCTGAGGAAAGGGCATGAAATATGTCAGAGCAGCATGCGAAGCAGAAATGCAGAGGGGAAGAGGGGCCGTGGGCGGGGACAGACCTGTCTGATGAAGGATATGACCCTCTGTGTCCCGTATTTATCCATATCTGGCAAGTTGATTTCGTCACAGAACAGTACCAGCCACTTTCCAAGCTGCACAGGAGCCAAAACGACCCCATTGGGTGTGCGCCTGTACTCGCAGTAGTGGTCGAACGTCTTCAGCAGGAGCTCTGGAGTGGTTGCGCTGGAGAAGTTAAGGCCCACAACCTTTGGAAGGGAGGACAAATGAGGTCATGTGACCGCGCCCACATCCCAGCCCCTACAACTCTTGGTCCTGCCTCCTGGTGTAATACCTCCATGTCAGGCAAGGCCCGGAGGGCACTGAAGAGTGTCATGGTCTTGCCAGACCCGGGAGGGCCACAAAGGACCAGCGGCTTATGTTCGGCCAGCCAAGTGTAGAGGAGGGCCTCATGACGGACGGTGTCCAGAGTTGGCACGACGACGTCAGGGGCCGCCACTTTGTGTGTCTCCACTTCGATCTGAGGCACCTTGGCCTGCCATGGGGACCACTCTCCACTGATGGACACCTGTACAGGGACAGGGGTACAAGTCACTCCGCAGCCAGCATACCTTTTCCCAATAAGACTGCCCACTTTTTCAAAAGCAGAACGCTCAAAATAGGGACAAGTTCAAGGCCAGCCTCAGCAACTCAGCAAGGCAGTAAGCAACTTAGTGGGACGCTGTCTCAAAATGAAAAAAGTTGGGAATGTGGCTCAGTGGTTAAGTGCCTCTGGGATCAATCCCTGGTACCAAAAAAAAAAAAGGAAAAAAGGACCATGTTAACCTGCACTCCTTTGTACCTGGTGACACTGAGAGGATAAAGTGCTTGTATGCCATGACAAGGTGACATGAAACCTATGCAGGCTGTTCAGGGATGGACTGAGCCCACACAGCAAGAATGCAGGGAAATCTCCTTTGCTCACCTCATAATCAATGATGGGTATGTTGGGCGCGGTGGGCAGGGGCACGGTCGTGATTCTCCTGATGTATTCACCCAGCTCTGCTCTCATTTTCAGTCGGCTGTCTCCAGACAAGGACCAGAGAATGGCATACACCAGGTATCGCTATCGAAAGAATTAAACCTTCATTAATGACAGCACAGAAATACAGGCGCTGCAAGCACAGTTAACCGCGATACCTCCTAGGACCACGGCGCAGACACTTCCCAGCCCTCATGGAAGCCTGATCCTGGCCTGGAAACAACGCACCCGAGAGGCAATGTTTTGGGCTGGGGCCCTCCAGCCATTGTGACCTGCCCCCCACCTGGATGTAGCGCTCCAGCTGCTCGATCTGCATGGGGAAGTCGGGGTGGTTGGCATTGTACTGCGCCACATTGCGGCAGGCCTGGTGCAGCATGGAGAAGAGCGAGCCCAGGCAGCGCAGGCGGGTCAGGTCCATGATGTGCTCGAGCTGGAAGGCGTGCTCCAGTGCCTTGGTGACCAGGCCGTTGGAGGTGAAGTAGGGCTGCATGATGGTCGCCGCGTCCCTCTGGATCTGCAGGAGGGGGAAGGAAGCTTGGCCACCAGCTCAAGTCGCTGGGAGTTTCACCTGTATCCTAGGCCCTGGGAGAGGGTCACATGACTTTGGGGACATGCCCATGACCAGCATGAATTCCTTGGCCCCAGCAGTTCCCAAAGCCCTGCTTCCTGGAAATGTGGTTTTCACCACTGGACATGGAAAGGGGCAGTCTTTCCACAATGTGCAGAGAAAAGAGGAAAACTGAAGGGTCTTTGGCTTCTCCCTAAACATCTTTTAGTTTTTGCAGCTGATACAGAGGGGCTTCCTCAGAAGCTGGTGTAAGACAGACCTGATTCTGCATAAGTGTGCCTGGCTTGAGTGGAAGCACTGGGAGCGACCACTACCTCACTGTGCTCCGAGGTCACCACCCCCAACCAACCTGCGGCCCGAGTGGAGCTGGGGCATGCAGCCCTTTACCTGCAGCATGGGGGAGGCAGCCTCCTCCCCCTCATCCTCTTTGCCCTTGCGCCGACGCTGTGCCTCGTCCTCCCCTTCGTCCAGAGGGATGCTGCGCAAGCGGGCCAGGAAGTTGTTGAAGATCATGTCCGTGCTCAGGACGTCCTCGCTGAACCAGACCATGCCGCAGCGCGACACAGTGGCCAGGGTTGCGTACTTCAGGTCCTGAACCTCAAACATGATTCGCACCTTCAGAGACAAGGTGAAGCACATTTAAGGACACATGTGGTGGAAATACAGACAGCATAATTCTTTTACCCACACAGAAACTGAACCAGATGATTTATTTAATTTTTCTTCACTTACTTTAAAAATGTCTACCTACAATTCACACTCCCATAATTCACACCCAACCTTCTCTCCACAAAAAACTGCCGGGAAAGGGCAGATCAGACCACAATATCTATGACTCCCTGTCTAGGAGCTCTTGGTGGAAAAGAGGCAGTGATTCTCCAGGGGTGCCGTGCACAGTGAGCAGGCACTGGGCGCTCATCCCACCCAGGGGTTGGCCCACACAGACCAGGAGGCAGGAATGTCACTACCCCATGCACACAAGGGCTGGGTCACCTGCCCAGCCACCACTGCTAGTAAATGGGTTGAGATTCTGATCAGGCACCTAGTTTCAGAGCCTTGACCCTAGCGCTACGTGGCCTTACAGAAGACCAACCTCTGTCACATCAGGACAGTGCACACAGACTGAGCCAAGGCTGAATGGCCTGGCTTAGGGAGGATAACCACACCAGTCCTGAGCCTCCCTGTAAGGACTAAGGCCGTACACTGTGAAGTCAGCCTGGATGCAGTCCCTCACACCCTCATCTGTCCCTTTAGCAGACTCCTCCACACCACCCCTAGTGACAGCCATGGTACACCTTCTCAGCAGTTTATCTGGAAGGGCCAAGTTTCAAGCCCTCAATGGACAGCTGAGCAGACAGTTCTGAACCCCACATGTACCTAAGACAAGGCTGAATGTGGAACTAGGCATCGTGGAAGAGAACTAACAAAACAGAAGAGTGAGGCCCATAAACTGCAGTGAAGCCGCACAGGGCTTCCAGGTCACTCCAGGAGCTCTCCATTCCCTACTCTCCAGCTGCAGCTGGCCTCTAGCTCTGCACACAGGCACGCCTCACATGCAGCCTGCTGCCCACAGCTGCACCTTGGGGTGTGCGCCCTGCAGCTGTGCCCGGGAAGGCTACTCACGTTGGGTGGCAGGCTGAGGCGCTCTCCGTTCGGCAGGGTCAGGAGCTTGTTGTCATCCAGCACCGAGTTCAGGTTCTCCACCCACTCAGGGTCCACGTCACCATCAAAGACGATCCACTGGCGCTTCTGCAGCTCGCCCCGCACATTGTCTATGATCCTGAGAGGGAAGGGTTTTAAATGGCTGTTGACTGGAGGGGGTTTTCCCGTTTACAAATGCTCACCCCACCACGGTTTCTGAAGTGAGCTGAACTTGTTCAGAGCTTGGCTGGGCAAACAAGTCCCCTCTAGAGGTGACACTGAGAACAGTGTGTGGGCCTATTCCCTGGAATGCAAACCAGACAAAGCCAACGTACTTCCTGAGCACATGTGTGAAGAGCCCGTCTGTCCACTCCCTGGTGTTTGGGTCCAGGGTTCCGTAGAGGTGGTCTTTGCTGATGGCCTTGGGGTCGATGATGTGGGCCACGCCCTCCACTCCCTCCAGCCTCTCCAGAGCCTTCAGCAGCACCCGCCAGGCCATGCTCTTACCACTTCCTGAGGGCCCCACCATCATTAGGCCGTGATTTATCTGGGTGATCTGATAGAGCTGGAGAACCTGCAGGGTCAGAGACCAGCACCGTGACCACCCCAGGGAAGGACAGGACATGCTTCAGTCACTGCTCATGACAGTGAGCAAGAAATGTATCATATGGATCCTTAACGGCAAGTACTAGAGCTCTTCAACTGAAGGAAGCCAAATAGACCACATCCACACGGACCTTTCTCAACTGTGGGAGGTCCTCCAGGCTCCTCAACAATCGCACAGCAGATCCCCCAAGGACAATAAGGCCAGGTGGCGGCCACACCTATAACCCCAGCTGTTCGGACAAAAAGGCAGGAGGGTTCCAAGTTCCATGCCTGCCTGGGCAACTCTTCGTGAGACCCCTCCCCAGCCACAGCCATGGTTTAATTCAGTACAGCGTTTCTCAGGACAATATATACAACTTGCATACACAACACGAAGAGGGAGAGAAGAAACCAATATGGAACACAGTCATGTACTCCTCATCGACTGAAGCTGTTAAGCTAGAACTGGAAAATCCTGTGAGTAGGAGTTTTACTGGCTTAAGCAAATTTCCATTAAAATCATGTCTTTGTCCACGTTTTTAGGGAATTAACCATACCACATAAAGGAAATTTCCAGGTTTGCTATCTTGAACAGGCCTTGGGGGAGCCTCCCTGTACCCTGAGAGCACACAGCCAACAGCCCTGTACCTTTTCAACCCACATTCCACCGACTTCTTCTCCATCTCCGTACGTCAGGTACATCTCCTGACACACTTTCTTCAGCTCCTCGCGAAGGGCAGTCATCTCACCCCGGTGGTACTGGACGCCAGGGAACACGTCCGACAGGAGGCTGAAGAGCAGCGGGATGTCCTCTGCCACCAGCTTGGGCACCATGGTCTCACAGACACTCTGTATCAGGATCTGTGGGAGGGGCGTAGGGAAGTGTGTTCCCTCAACTCTCTGTCAATCAGTCCACCCCACCCATCCCGACATGTGAGTCACAAGAGCGTGCGAGTCAGGACTTAAGAGACACGAAGTCTGAGAGGTCAGAAGGATTTGTGTACAAACCTCTTGTTCAGGTAGATTTTCAGCAATTTCTCCTTCATCGACGGCTTCCCCTCGTTCCTCCTTCTCCCTCTTTATCTTCTGAATTCTCTCCCTCTTCACGTTGCCTGCACTCACCAGCACACTCTTCAAAGCCCGAAGACCAAAGTCATAGTGGCTCTGAGAAGAGAGTTGCTCATCGCATAATCTAAGAAAGAGAGAGAGATTTTCTTGAAAAGCAGTACACTTCAAGCAATCACAGTATTAAGGGCCAGGGAATCAGAGGCAAATACTTTAAAGATGTGCCACAAATACAGACAGAAATTCCAGGGCTATGTGGGCACAGGCTGGAACGTGTGTGTGGTTCTCTGGGCTACTCACTTAAAGAAGGGGACAATTTTGTTGGCAAGAACTTCGGCGGTGCGGAAGCCCTGTGAGTAGAGCATGACTTGGGCGATCAGCTGCCGGTCAGGCTTGGTCATGGCCAAGCTCCGGAACAGCTTCTTGAGGTTGTCAGGGAGGTTGGAGCGGCCTGCATAGCCAGGGTTCATGGTGATGAAGATGGCCATGTCCGGGCTCACTTTGACTTGCTTGTTCAGCAGCTCACAAGTGATGGGGGCAGAGGCTGGAATCAGATGATGCCATTAACACTTTTAACACCGAAAAACGTGTGGAAAGTTCTCTAAAAATGGGCAGGTCCCCAGCACTGCAAAACAGTCCCTAAGATGACAGGGCACCCATTCTGCTGGGACCTCCGAGCCCAAAGCCCAGCATCCTGGGGAGCCAGATGCAGGCTTGGAGAAGGGCTGCTCTGACTTCCCCATGGCAGCCCACCCGTCCTCAGGGAGACCCATTTGTACACGCCAGGTACACACGAGTGGCATGCAGACACCCAAGGCAGGGAGCTCCTGGCCTGTTCGTGCACCATGACACCAGTGGCAGCAGGACAGCTTAGGAATGGAAATGTGTACAGAAGGGAATGTGTCCATGCTCTCGCATGCCTGGTGGCTACAGCACGAGGACCACCTCTTCCTAGGGCCCCCGAGTAGTACACACAACCCAGCCCCCCTTCCTACCCCCGAACCACTCAGGATTGTTTACTCATGAGTATTGACACAGACGTAAGGACTGCTTTGACATTCCTGTGTGTTATTTAGGAGGTCTGGGAATTCTTTGTAAGACAAGTTACCACTGTTGTTGAATAACAGGAAACAAAACAGCCTGTGGACCTGGCCCTCCCAATTTTGACATGTTTCTTTCAACATCTGACCCTGACAGTGGGCCTGATGACAGATCAGATGGTACAATGTGGGCCCACAGGAGCTGGGGGCTTGGCTCCCTGGGATGTGGGCAGGGGGCAAACCGAGGGTTCCTGTGGCAAATGCCGTGTGGGAAAGTTCAGGCCCTGGCTTGGCAGAGGAAGCCCTGCTGCAGGGCATAAGTGTGGGTGGGGTGTGCCCAGCTCCAGCAGTGGCCACGAGCCACTGACACAGAGCCACGGCTTTGTCCCCTTGGTCTCTGGCCTTGGTGCACGACAGGGCCTGAACGGCGTTCTCACGTCACAATTCCCTCTACCTGCTCAGAGTGGTTTTTAAAAGGAGGCGTCTTACTCTTGTCATAGTTGGGGTTGGAGTGCTCCCGCAGGGCTTCCTGGATGCACTGCACCTGCTGGGACACTGCAGAGAGCATTCGCTCCTCCAGGCGGTTAAACTCGTCAAAGCAGCCCCAGGCGCCCACCTGGCAAAGCCCCACAAAGATCCGTCCCATTGCCTGAAATGGAGGGCAAGAGAGAAGGTGAAACTTCCGCTGTGGACTGCCCAGTGCACCCCAGTGTAGCTGTACTCAGAGACTCAGGCTTTCTGGAAATAGTTAATTTTTGTGATACTGGTGACTGAACTCAGGGATGCTCTACCACTTAGCCTTTAATTTTGAGACAGGGTCTCACTAAGTTCCCAGGCTGGTCTCAAACTTGCCATCCTCCTGCCTCAGCCTCCTGGAGTTGCTGGGATTACACAAATGTGCCACTGTGCCCAGTTAGGACTGCCGTTCTCATAAGAGGATGGAGATACGTAACTCTCTCTTTCTGTGTGCACCAGAGGAAAGACTGAGGTTCCATTGGGAGGGTGTCTGTCTGCACACCAGGAGGGGCTTTGCCAGGAGCCAAAGCTGCCAGAGCCTCGACCTTGGTGAGAAGAATGGCCCCTGTTGGCTAGGCCCTGCGGCCCATGGTAGTGGTATCCAAGACATCCTGGTCTCAGCGTGGGCTTTACATAGAATACTGGCTCTGGAGACTGGTCCAGCCTTGGGCAGGTCAGGCATTCCTGAAAACCAGAGTCTCAGCCGCCTACTGAGGTGGTTGAGGGTGGGGTCTGAGTCTCACTGAGGAAAGGGGCCAGCACCTACAGATAGCATGACCACAGTGCAGGTGGACCAAGTTCTCCTCCTGTGCCCAAAAGCTCCCACTGACAAAGCAGATGTTTTTGTTCTACTACTTTTTGTTTCTCACACATAATATTGTTTATTTCCAGAAACAGGAGCTTAGCATTTCTGGGTAAATGACAAACATTTAACTTTGAGAACATGAAGTTAGAAATCAACTTCAAAGCACAGTTGGATTCCTCCAACACTGAAACAATACCTGTCCCTATTGGACTCAGAAAACCATAAAAAAATCACACTGAGTTGCAAGGCTGGTGGCTCTGAGAAGCCAGATTCAGTGTTCCCATGTGACCCCTTCAGGACATCTGATTTTAGGTGGATCTGATAAAGCTTCTCACCTGGAAGTCAAAGGTTTCATCGCAGTTGAAAACTAAAACAAACCGTCCAAGTTGATGGCCCAAAGCCTTGACAGACTCTGTTTTCCCAGTTCCAGCAGGACCTATTATTTGAAGAAAAGTAGTTGAGTACTTGAATCTGCTACTTAATGGGAATATAACTTTAAGAGAAGAGTAAAAACTAACTTTTTGTTGTTGTTGTTTTGGTGGTATTAGGCTTGAACTGGGGGGATTTCTACCACTGAGCTACATCCCAAGCCCTTTTTAAGTTTGCCTAGGCAGGCTTTGAATTTGTGATTCTCTTGCCTCAGCCTCCCAAATTGCTGGGTTATAGGTGTGTGCCACCATGCCTGGCAAAGCAATTCACTTTAAAAGTAAAAGCAGATACAACAAAGGCAAACATATTTAAGTTTTCAGAATGTACCAACTGTGTAATTAAGAAATATATCCAAATCCCTAGCTTAGCCTTTTAAAATTATGTCTACCACATGATTATTTCTATCCAGGTTTATGGAGTAACTTACCAAATGGGGAACCCCCCAGCCTGGCCTCCAAGGCTTGTGTCATCGTCAAGTAGCAGCGATCAGTGAGAGGGGTCTGGACCAGCTTGTCCTGAACACCCAGGTACTCAAAGCCATAATTAAATTTGGCATTTGCCATTTGAATTGACAACTGCTGTAACACATCGGTTTGCTTAGGGTCAAAGTAAAATCGCATCTGGCTGAGCCATTCAAAAGATTTGGCGTTGTCAATCTTGCTTTTTATCAAAGACCTGGTGACATCTCTCTGGTGAACCAACTCTGTTATCTGAGAAAATAAACGTTTGGCATAAGATAAAGTAACACTCAAACCAAGCATTCTCTGGATTATTTGCTAAATTTAAATTGGGATTCTATGTCCAGTTACAGTGGCTCTCGGTAAATACAACAAAACTCAAGTTCACCTCCAGAGACAATAGCAAAACCTCTTGTGACACAGAATTGAGAGCGAGAGCAAAACAAAGAAACAACAAACAACAGCACCCTTGCCGATACATAAAAACTGCAACTGGCATAGCACGGGGCAGGGGAGCGGCTTTCTCATGTCTGCCCAAGAGTGCAGCCCACCTGCTGGGCTGGGAGCCTGGGAGCTCCCACACTGAGGCGCCCAGCACTGTCTTGGCCACTTCTAAGAGGACATGAGGAGGAGTGATAGACTCTGACCAAGGCCAGGATGCTCTCCTGCCTGCAGTCATCTGACCCTGGAGTACAGCTCAACAGGAGCACAGAGCCAAAGACCCCCGGAGAGCAGGAACATGTCCTCCACTTTTTTGTGACACCGACAGGAATGTGTCCTAGGTGTGGCCTCTTTTGCCAATGTGGGTTGAGGTGTGAGGGCGTAGAGGTGAGGAAAGGCCAGGCTCGAGACTCACCAAGTGCTCCAGCTTCCGCCTCCGGAGCGGGGGCTGCTCCATGAGGACCGAGTCTGCCAGCACATTGAGGGTGGCCTCCACGTTGCTCAGCACGGAGTGTAGGGGTGCAGCGTCCCCACCGCCTCCAACGTTGCTCAGGGCACTCTCCACATTTTCAGACCAGGCAATCTGGGCCGACAGCACCACAAGCTGGGCCTGGCAGAAACACGACACAGGTCCACAGGGTCAGTTTTGTTTTTTTTTTTTTTTTTAAATACAACGTGAGGGCTCTGCCGCTGAGCCACAACCCCAGCCATCGGTTTATTTTTTTGAGAGAAGGTCTTGCTTTTGCTCATGCTGGCAGAGTTCATGGGCTCAAGTGATCCTCCCACCCCAGCCTTTGGCTTCCAAAGGGTCACCTGTAAAGTCAGGCAGCGCTTTCATCCATAGTTTACCTGATATTTATCAATCCATGTGATGTAGGTATTTGGATCAATTGATGTTGCTTTACCAAAAATCTCTACTTCTGTAACAGATTCAGCAAGAAGTTTAGCCAGGGTGACTCTCATTTCCTTTTCCACCAGTGTGAGCCACTCATTGATTTTGGGATGTTCTGTGATGGACACAGGAGTTTTAAACATAACCTGAAATTAAAAAGAAAAAATATGAATTAGGATGTGCGAATATATGAAAGCAGTTTTCTAAATCTGAAATGTAAATTGTCCTACCTCTTCTCCTTCTCGGGATGAAATGCCCAGGACCACAGAGTTATCTTCATTGAGGATGATGCTTGAAACTCCAGCAAACATCTTCTTGAAGTGTTTTTGTAGTTTAGCTACATTCTTGCTATTTCCAATGATTTCAAGCAAATCTTCATCACCCACAAAATAGAACCTAAAATTAAATAGCATTTAAGTGGCTACTATTATTTGTACAAAAGTTAGGAAAAGTTTTAGATTGTAGGAAGACAAAGGAGATGTGGCTACTAGTAGAAAAATCTCCACCTTGAATTCAGATTATATCCCAACTTCTTTTAGTCCTCAGCAAAAGATATATACATTTATTCAGTAAGATTTAAGAAATAATTCAGTGCCATTTACCCTTACTTCATCAAGTCATTTTTTAAAAAAAATCTGCTCTAGTCATTGTAAGAAAATTGTTCATAAAAAAGAACCACCACTTAGAAACAATTAGAGTATTCGAGGGATGCAAGCTGCCCCGAGGGGAAATGAGAGCCCCTGTGAAGCCTGACAGAGCTGAGGAAGAGACTGGATTGAAAGTGCCACTAGAAGTCACTGCATATGAGCTGAACGGTGTTCATTTGAGGACTACTGGCTAACAAAACTGACAACACTCAAGCCCAGAAGGAAAAGCACAACTGAAACCCACTCCATTTCAGTCTGAGTCAAAGTAAGCACCTTACCTGGGGAAAGAGGATCGCTCTCTTTCCAGGTACTCTCCCAGTGCTTTCTGGATCTTTCCTAGCAGGTCTGCCAGCCTTTCCAGAGAACGCTGCACTCCCTGGATGTTCAGAACATCCATAACAAGGGGAGACTTGGACACTTTTTTCATCAGCGCCAAGAATTCCGTGCTGATGCTATGGACAAAGTTAAAAGACAACACATGTGTCAGCCTCTATGGAGGGTGCTTTCCAGCCCCTACCAACACCCGGCCCCGGTTAGAAGTCGTACCTCTGGAAACGCTGGGTTTCCACGGGTAACAGATGTTTGATGTCCGCGCTGCCTGTGAAGATGCCTTCCAGGTAGACCCATCGCCTCTGCACATCAATCCACACGTCGAAGAGAGCCATGATCCGGTTCAACTTGTCTTCCCAGCTCAGGGCATCCTCTTCGAAAACCTGGCAGGTACACAAAAGGGCAAAGCTCATCTGCTGAGCTTTTCACTCATGGATCTGAGAAAACTCACTGAAAAATGAAGACTGGGATCCCAGAAAAGCCATCTGACTGATGTTTTAAAAAGCAGGTACCTCGTCAGTGCAGAAGTACAGTAATGGAGGCACAGAGCTCTGCCTAGGGAGCAGGTCTCCCCAGTAACCATACCTTGTAATATGGAGAGAGTTTCATGGCAGACACACTGTTGATGTGCTCCTTGACCTTGTTGAATAGGTCATCCCATCCTCGAATCAGGCGACACTTGTTCTGATAGTTGACCAAGTCGAGTTCATAAGTATTCCACACTTCTCTTATCTAAATTGAAACCAGGAAAAGGCATGTCATCAGAATGTCACTGGTCTAACTGCCAAGGGACAAGGGTTATGGGGATGTAAGGGACCACAGGTGACAAGGTTTTGTTTCAATGCTCAAGTCTACACTATAGCCTGAACACATCCAATCCTGTTACTGACCTGCTTCAAAAATTCTTCCAGGGCCATCTCTCCCTGTGCCACCAGCAGTACATCCTTGACAATAGCTTCATTTTTCTGCAAATCGACGTCCCAGATTTGGCCAAGGGTCAGCTCGGAAACCACCCAATTCACATGCAGCCTCTTCATCAGCTGCTTCCAGTGGCGGTCTTTCAGTGCTTCAGATTTCAGCTCGATCACCAGCATGTTCACCTACACGGGGAGCGAACACGGTGCTGGGCGGGTGTGCTTCTGGTGGCTGCCCACTGCCCGTGGCTCTCTGGCCTACCTTCATGTAGCCTTTCAGCAACCTCTGAACAAACTCGTAGGAGGCGTACTGCCGCAGGCGCGCGGGGAAGCTCTTCAGCTGGTTCAGCAGGCCATCTAAATTTTGTCGAAGCTGTCAGAAGAGACACACAATGATATTTAATTGCTGACATTTCTTTAAATGGTGAAATATTTAAAAATGGTTTTGAAATAAGCTTTTCAATAATAATGTGAATAATGTTAATGACACATAGGACATTAAGTGACATCTTATGAACTCTAGTTACTTGCTTGCAAGGTTCCTAAATGAAGTCTGTAACTGATACTACAAAGGCACACACCAAGCAGCTACTTTGACAAGACCTACCTTCCGAGGCTGTACTGAGACCCAGGGCTGCTCCTTCATCTGATCGATTTGCTCCCAGACCTTAGATAGCTCTGACCAAACGCCTTTGAGGTCCTGTAATTCCTCTAAAGCCACCTATGATGAAGAATAGCAAAGCAGTCAAATGGTGGAAAGAGCAAACAGCTCACAACTAACAAAGAAAAAGGAAATCACACCAGACTCTGGCAGGGGTTCAGTGGCAGAGCCCGGCGGAGTGGAACCCCAGCTAGCTCCGTGGTCGGTACCTGCACGCGCTCCTCGCTGCCACTGAGGAGCCCACTGTCGGTCAGCTCCAGCGCCTCCTTGGCCTTGGCGCACTTTTCCCTGTCGTCCTTCAGCCTGCCAAACTTCCCCTCGTATATGGTCAGAGCCTGCAGCGCCTCCTCTGGGCGAAGGTTGCCCTAAGAGAAGCCAGAGCACAGGGAATCTTTGGGAGAGGAAAGCTGTGGCTTATGCGAGGGCCTACGGAGCTCCTGGGAATTCCTGACTGAACGTGTGCATGGGAGTACGAATTCAACAATCGTCCACGTGGGCCTGTGCACAGGACTGGCTGTGAGTGTACACCAGTGCCTGGGAGGCGGAGGGAGGACAGGGGCCGCTGGCTGGGCGCGCTCAGGCACAGCTCTCAAAGCCAAGGCCTGGCTTTCTCTGACAAACCATTGTTCCCCATGAAGACTAGAGTGGCAGGAGATGGGCCTGGTTCCCCACGAACAATACAGTTAAAGATTTCCTGTCTAAACCCATTAACTCACAGACAGACACAAAGGACAAGTGCAGAAACTATCGGTTTTCTACCAGAGGAGAATCCCACCACATTCCTGGCACTTCCCCAAGCTGAGGTGATCCACAAGAGAACAATGTAATGAGCAATGCTGGCCTCAGTGAGAGCAGGTCCTCTGAGACACAAAGTAGAACCTGCAAGGGCCCAGCTGCACACCAGGCCTCTAAACTAGAGGAGCATTCTGGATATCTTAACTTCCTTTCCTTTTTTCCCTATGCTCATCTGTACATCTAAATAAGCAAAACACTGAATTCTACCCCAATAAGCCAAAAATGCCATCATCTACTTTCTGTCACCTTTCCATGAGCACAACCTACCACTGCCCCTCCTTCAGGTCTCCCTTCACCATCCCCTTCCCAGACACAGCAGTAGCCACTGGCACCCTCTGCCACCCTGGCCAGCACCTGCCTCAAGGGACATGCTTTTCTTGTTCGTCATTATTACCTCTCCCCCGACAGGAGCGTGGGGGCTCTTGTCCCTTTCACTACTGCTACACCCTTGCTGCTAGGACGAAGCCTGGAGCCTTGGTGCTCAGTAAACACTGGGATGATGGAGCACAGGCATGTGGACAGCAACAGAACCTGCCTCCCTACGGCACACACTGCCTGGTGGCACTGTGAGGCACATCCCCTTTACAGAAACCAAGGTCTGATTTATTTATTTTTAGTACTAGGGATTGAACCCGGGGGTGCTTTACCACATCCACAGCCTTTTTATTTTTTATTTAGAGACTTGGTCTCACAAAGTTGCTTAGGGCCTTGCTAAGTTGCTGAAGCTGGGCTTGAACTTGTGATCCTCCTGCCTCAGCCTCCCAAGCTACTGGAATTATAGGTGTGCATCACCACACCGGGCCCAAATTCTGATTTTTGAGCATGCCTAAAGGAAAAGACTAATTTAAAAACAGAAAATCTTTAGCTCTCAAGACTATACCCTGATTTAAATGATGGTGTCTCTGGGTAATGAGAGGCCCAAGTTGGCTTTTTACTCACCATCTACAAGTATTGGTTTTTTATGCACACTAGGCAAGCACTCTTCCACTGCACTACACCCAGTTTTGTTTTGTTTGGTACCAGGAAATAAACCCGAGGTGCTTAACCACTGAGTCACATCCCTTTTTCATTTATTTTGAGACATGGTCTTGCTAAGTTACTTGGGGCCTTGCTAAGTTGCTGAGTCTAGTCTCAAACATGTAAACCTCCTCCCCTCAGCCTCCCAGGCCACTGGGATTATTGTGTTTTTGAGAGGGGCATCTTGCTAGGTTGCTCAGGCTGCTTTGAGCTCCTGGGCTCAAGCCATTCCCTAACCCAGCCTCCCAAGCAGAGGGCCTACAGGTGCATGCCACCATAACTGGCTGCAAGTATTGCTTTTTTGTTACAAAAAGGGGGAAAATTTCTCTAGTACTGGCAAGCTAACACACAGCAAGGGTTTCTAAATCTGAAAGAAAGTCCTCCAGATCATGCTGGTGGTTAGCATGGCCTGGTGAGGCTCACTGTGACTGGCTTGGTCTTCTCCCAGTCTGTCAGTAGGTCGGTGGTGCGGCTCTCCACAGCCCGGTCCTCCTGCACGATCTTCATCTGCAGGTTTGCCACCTGCTGCTGGATGGCAGAGTCTTTCCGCCGCATAATGTCATTGAAGGCTCCCCACTCTCCCTCGATGTTGTCGATATAGAGCCAGGAAGGTGGGAACTGAAACCTTTGCTTTTCTAGCAGGCGCTGACCATTGCGGTAGAGCTTTGAAAGTTAAAAGACAAAGTGATTTTTTTGCCTTCTACAGTAAGAGAAACTACTGTCAGAGTCCCATCACAGAGAAGACATTTTGAGCTAGAGAGCATAAAAGATCACGACACTTGTTCTTGTATAACCTTCCAGCCTGATTACTGTGGTCAGAGGGCAGCATGCCCTGGGAGTCCAACATGGCTGACTAGTTACTGCACCTAGTTGTACCCAGAGGGCCTGAACAGGACATGAGAGCAGACAGGGGCTGAGCCTCACTCCATTCCAGAATCTAGAAGGGATATTTGAGTCTAGTGACTTGAAAGCAACTATAGCAAATTGAAGAGAAAAAACAAACAAAAGTCCAGTTGTTCTCAAACCCTGTGTGCATGGGAATCACCTGCAGAACTTTTAAAAATGCAGACTCCTAGGGTGGTGGCCTTAGCAATGTATTTTAACAAGCACATCAGGTGGTTAGGACAGGATAGTCTATGGACCATATGTAAAAAAATGTGCTTTAAGAGTCAAGTCAGAACGTGCCCTCGGAAGGCAAAACAATACAAAACTAAAATTCAACTAGTGTCTTTGCTCGAGAAGTTAACTATCTGCAGAGCTCACCTCCACTTGCTTCTCAAATTGCTTGATCTTCCTCTTCAAAGACTGCACGTAGGTGATGAAGGTCACTGCGTCAGAGGTGCTGGCGGTGTCCACGGAGTGCTGCTCCAGCTCTTGGCGAGACTGTTCAGAGAGAGGGCTGCATTTACCCCTGGCCAAGACCCCCAGCAGCCTAGTTACATGCAGAATCTACCTCCTCACCTTTGAGATCTGGGAATGGAATTCGGTCATGTTTGAGCCCAGCATCTGCCCAAATTTGCTCAGAACCTCTTTATGCCAGGAGTCGTACTTCAAGTTCACCTTAGACTGCACCTGGGGTGAAGCAGCACACAGCAGCAGGTCAGCAGTTGGACAGCAGTGCTGATTCCCAGGTATCCCGGCACTGTCAAGAACACCCTGAGCTCACCTTGCCATAATCTATAACCACTGGTCCAAACTCCTTCTTGGTTTCTGCATTGTCAAAGGTCCCCCTGGCCTTCCTTATCTGGACCAAGAGGGCTTGCCACTTGTTGAGATCTTCGCCCAGCCTGTTGTAGATGTTCTCAGCCTGCATGTCCCATAGGCACTGATACTGGAGCCAGACCTGCATGAAGAGTGAGGTCAAACACCATCGCTCCGTTGTCCAGAATGACGAGACAGTCCTTTCACATTCCATTAAAAAGACCCACGTGTTCTCAGCATTAGAAAAACTCACATTTCACATGCTCAGAACTTGAACATCACAGTTAAAACCAAAAAACCGAAAAGTACTTGTCCCAGTTTTACTTTTTGCTTTAAAATTAGTAAATGTTACCTAGTGTCCCACATTAGGGACTGTTGAGATCCTTCAGCTCTACACTCTGTGTCTCCTACTCTGAAGAGTCTTGGAAGACTCTAGAGCATAAGTAGGTGAAGTCCAGAAAGGCCTCCTACCTTAACGTACTGCTCGACCTCAGTCACGATGCCCATGACAGCAGAGTAGGACTCCTCCAAGGCGACAGGGCCGTCCGGCATGCGCGTTAAAGCATTGCGGTAGAACTTCTCCTCCTCAGTCAACTCGTAGTGCACGCCCACCTGAGCAACAAGCCACAAGTGAAGCCAAGCAATGTGCAGTAGAACTCCCAGAACCAGAAGGCCACAGGACAACGGGGGTGACCCTGCTGTGCCTTGTGATATGTACTTCATGTGACAGAAAGACTCCAATAGAGGGAAGAACCCAGGGAAAGGAAACAGGAGCTAGTGCACTGAAGAGGGCTGACTTCAGTTTGTCAAGTTTGGAGACAAACAAGAGAACAATGCAAATAGAATTGCAGCTACTTAAACCCAGAAGCACAACAAGAAGGATCCTAAAGATCACAGGTAGACTCCTTGAGGGGCAGGGCCAGCACACACAGCTTGGCTCTGATTAGCTGGACATTGCCAAGTTTTGGGCTAACCACTGACAAAATTTCAAACTATATCAGTTAACTACTTGAACATCCTAAAGAACTAAGTTGATGTCGAAGCCAAGGAAAAGGTAAGTTCTCAATAGGATCTCTAAGTTCTAGAAGAGTCTGCTGTAGTTGTGGAATCTTTTTACTTGAAAACCACTGGTCCTATTTAGAAGTAACATTGGCCAGAGGCCAGGGACTAAATGGTGTTTTAAGTTTTCATTTGCTTCTAGCAGTACACTAACAAGAGTATGTCACATCTGGAATTTACTTTAAAATAATCTGATAGGAGTGGGAAGGTAGGGAAGGAAATATAAATGAAATAAAATTGGTCACAAGTTGATAAGTAAATCTGGATGGTGGGAGCTCACAACTCCTGCTACTTCTGCATGTTTGAACATTTCTCTAATAAAAAGTGGGGACAACGGAGAAGCAGCGGGTACTGAGGTTCCAAAGACACTCATGGAAGGACATTTATGGAGAGACAGCCAAGACCTAGCCACCAGTGCCAAGTGTCTCCATGGAAGTCGTACAAAGCCTCCTCTGGGGCTCCCTAAGGATCCAAAAAGACACGAAGAGCAGTGTCACCGCACCCCGCCCCTAGGAGAACCCTGTTCAGAGGGCACCTGCTCCAAGACCCCAGAAGGCTGACCTGGTATCTCTGACTCTGGATCCTGGGGAGGGACAGCACAACCATCTTCCACGCAAACATTTCCTGATAGAGCTTGTATCTGCATTCTTCAATTGGCGGATTCAAATAGATTACCTGATTGGTTATTCTTAGCTCATGAACAACATTCTGTAAAAGAAAGGTCTCATTATTTATTCAGCACTATATTTCAATAAATATATTCAAGATTGTTTTGAATCTTAACTTTCTCTAAATTATTATACTACTTCAGTCTGAACAACCAAGTCTGTCACTTTATTAGAGGACCTTGTGTAATTTCATGTTTATGATGTACACCCTTGCCACTTATATCATAAGGTAAAGGCAAGTGGGGTGCAGTGGCGCACGCTTGTAATCCCAACAACCCAGGAGGCTGGGGCAGGAGGATCACAAGTTGAGGCCAGTCTCAACTACTTAGTGAGACCTTGTCTCAAAATAAAAAAAGGGATCAGTGGTAAAGCAACCCTGGGTTCAATCCCCTATACCAAAAACAAACAAATGAATAATGCATGAGAACTGGGGCTGTAGCTCAGTGGTTCAGGCCCCCGAATCACACAATCGAAGGCAGGCACTGCTCTATCTCCTCACGGTTCCTAGTGCCTGGATATCGAATACACAGCCAATGCTTAATTGAGCACCCTGAGACTTGATGTCCCTGACCTCTGTTGATATGGCCATCTGAAGCCCAAGAAGCCAAGCCCCGATGCAGGGAGAGCAGGTGGGTGCTGGCTGCCAGCCATACATGACAGGAACTCTGGTTTTCCAAGCTGTACTAATCTGTGCCACCTGCCAGTGCTCTAAGCTCTTCCAGAATTCCAACTCAAACCAGGTAATTTTCCCACTTCAGATAATTTACTGGCTTAGACATACTCATTGTTCCTCTGTGACTGAGTACTTTAAACAGTATGCTCCATGGGGCTGGGACTGGGGCTCAGTGGCAGAGTGCTCCCCTAACATGTGCGGGGCCCTGGGTTTGATCCTCAGCACTACATAAAAATGGACAGACAAAGGTATTGTGTCCAACTACAACTAAAAAATAAAAAATAATAAAAAAGAATGCTCTAGGCATAGAATACCTATAATACTAAAAAGCAAAAAAAAATTCAGGCATTAAGGGTTTGGGAAAGGGAAGAAAAAGATAAAAAAGCCTCTTTGCTTCTCCCAGTTCAACATCTGCACCTGCGATTCTTCTGGGCTTACATTCTGTGAGCCTTTTTATTGTCAACAGTAAACACAGAATAAGTGCCTGGCTTATGAACTGCAGGGCGACCTCCCACAGTGGCAGACAAGGTCTGTGGGCAGAGTTCTAACAACAGAACTGCACAAGTCTCTGGAAAGCTCACAAAGTGCTGGTTGACCACTCCTTCACACAAGGGGAACACAGACAGCTTGCAGACAGAGATGCCGTCTGCAGGGGCAACCTCTGGGCTGCTTGTACTTCCACAAGACTTGGATTTAGACTTCTACTTGTGGGCAGAGTGTGTCCAGTTCATGAATAATTTCTGAATAGTTCATGAATGCTTGGTAGGCAGAGTCCCCAGTGTAGATTCCTTTCTAAAATTTATGTATTTATTATTTTTTAAAATTTTACTTAGAGACAGGGTCTCACTGAGTTATTAGGGCCTCACTAGGTTGCTGAGGCTGGCTTTACACTCCTTTGCCTCAGCCTCCTGAGCTGCAGGGATTTTAGGTGTGCACTACCACACCCACCTTAAAGTTTATCTATTTTCTTATTACTTCCTTTTTTGAAATTATTTTAGGCTTATAAGTTGAGTAGTGTCACCAACTCTCTCTCATGTAAACACCCTTCACGAGGACAGAAACGCTGACTTGAGTCTGTGAACTATAGCACAGACATCAGTCAGGTCCCCAGGACCTGATCCAAATGGCTACATGACACTTGTCACATCTCTCAATCACTTCCAACCTGTGACATTTGTCTAGTTTCTCCTTGATATTCAGGACCCTTCAGTCTGGGATTGCAGGACATTTTCTCATGGCTAGAATGAGACTGAGGACTCTGGGAAAGCCATAGAGGTGAAGTGCCCTCTGATCACACATCATAGGGCACTTGGTGTTAACTCAGGTCACTGGTTATGGTGCCATCAGGATTCCCTGCTGTGGACTGACTTTTCCATAGCACCTCCACCTCTTTGGGTGCTGGGGGTGGAGCCTGGAGCCCAGAGCCCTGCGAGTGAGCAAGCGCTCTGCCTCTGAGCCATACCCCCAGTCCCCATGGGTCCTTCCAAGGGGAGGACTATTTTGTTCACTTGCACATGGGATGCCACAAGAGGTACTCACTTTGATCTTGGGCTCTCCACCAGGCTTGTGACTGACTTGTGGAGCATCTGTATCCATGTCAACTTCTGCTTTATCTTCAGCCTGTCCAAGAAGGACCTGGGTCCAAGCTCTGAGGCCAGCTTGCAGACGAACGCCCAGTATTCTCTCAATCTACAGAGAAGTTAGTGTCAGAGAACAGTGCTTCTTCCAAGTCAGCTCACAGACACACGCATCAGAAGGTGTTGGGATCCAAGATGGAAAGCTCCTGCCTCTGACCCTTGGCCTCACTTATCAAATTACCAGCCTCCCACAGCTCATCTCAGGTTCTGTGCTGCGTCTCTGGACCAACTGAACTTCTATCCTCCCAACTCACAAGAGGCCTTGTGCCATGCAGCAGATTCAGTAAAGGACTTAGTGATTACTTAACATGAAAGAAAATTCACAAACGTGTTCTCCTGGTAACCTCAAAGACAAAACTGGGAAAACTATAATTTGGATATGAAACAATAATAGAATGACATCTTCTAGATTTAGAATTAGACAAACAAATTTCTTAAACAGACATCTGCAAGCCTTTGTTAATTCTGCCTTGGGTCACACAACCATCCGAGAGTGTGGTGAGGACTGTGGGCACTGTTGGATTATGGGTTCAGTAACTCCCCTCCAACAGTGTCCCTCTGTGTGGATAGATACACTGCCAAGGACCTACCCATTTAAACAAAGAAAGGAAAAAATACAGCCTGGAAACTGACCAAGTGCAACCTCTAACCTCTCCTACCAAATCCTCCTTCCTAAGACTCCACTTGTAGACTCTCCAATCCAATACTGAGAGAAGCACAGCCCTTGCCCTAACCCCAGGGGTGAGCAGAGAACCTCTGCACCAGGAGCAAGTGGAGCTTTGTGCTAGGTGTTTCTTTCCAAGTTGATTGTGGCAGGGTAATCAGAGAAGGCTGCCTGAGAGCTGGGAAGGACAGGCCAGGGGCCAGGGGCATGGCTCAGTGGTAGAGGCAGGGCTGAACACACTTGAGGCCCTGGGTTCAATCCCTAGAACTACCAAGAACCAAAAAAGTCTAAATCATAAGAGCAGAAAGGATATGGGCAGGAAGTGCCAAGTATCTAGCAAATAAAGAGATTTTCTCTTCCCTGACCGCTGTTGCTGTCAGCTCAATGCTGACATGGGTACTGGCCTGTAGAGGCACAGTTGAGCTCTAGCATCAGTTAATCAAGACTCTGGGGGGGAACTGGACTATCACTGGTCATTTCTAAGGAAAGCAGCTTTTTAGTGAGATGGACGAGCTTACTGAACAGGGTCCACTCCCACCTCACCAACAGCATGAAAAGCGCTCTCCCTGACCACCCTCACCTCCATGTCAAGCTTGTTGACCCAGATGGGCAGATTGGAGTAGGAGTGCAGGTTTAAGTCGTCCACGGCTTTCTGGACTCTGTTCAAAATCTCTGAGAAGGTCTTATGATCATACATGCATGTTTCCAAGGAACGCACTTCCAGGTCTATTTTTTCTTCAATGATCAGCAGATCATCCACCTACAGGAAGACAATAACAATTAAAACAGATGTTTTAATTTTTCTACTTTTTATTTTTCCTATTTTCTATTCACTTTTTCTATTCCTTTATTGTTGACACACTCTTCTCAGTTCATTAACAAAAGCTGTGGCTGAGTAGTTCTCAATAAAGAGCCAATCTTTGCTGCCAGGGTGAGGAGGACACTTATCCCAACGTGTTCCTAGAGGGAAAGGCCTGGGGTGCCATCAGGCCCTCTTACTCCTGCTCACAGGAGGGACAGCCTCTGGTTGCTAAGTCCAGGAGAAGGGAACCAACAGCCCCTCCTGCACCCCCAGGAGGAAGGTGGCTGCATACAGATGAGTGGTAGTGTGGTGCACTCGCTGTGGCAGACTCCGGGCCAGGAGGCCTACAGCTGTCTGAGGGAGCTGGAGCCTGGGAAGGAGGTCTACATCCTGAGTGAAGGACTTAATGCAAGCACTTCAGACCTAGACTCGTTCTCCCTTGATCTCTCTCTTGGTTGACAGCATCTCTGACCCTCTCCACTCCTCAGTTTCTAAGCTTAGAGTGTTACTTAGCAGTCTCCCGAAAGCCCTATTCCCAACCCAGAGCAGGGGGGACATCAGCTCTTCACCCTCTGGGCTCTGGTGGCCCCAGACTGCGTCTTCTGTGGGAGGATGCATGAACTGACTTAGCTAGGACACTAGGACACATCCTAGGGATTCACTGCTAGGATTCGAGCACTAAATTAGAGCCACCTTTTCCTGGAAGTTGAAGACAGTCTCTGCCAAGCGCTGCACGTAGGGATCAAGTTTGTAGGACTCCCACACCAGGGCAATGCCTTCTGCAATCAAAGCCTGCACCTCCTTCTTCAAGCCAGCCACCAGGAGCGAGATGGTGTTCCGTTCCTCCACCTTCTCGCAGGTGCGCTCGTAGGTCCGGACACTCTCGATCAGCGAGATGGCAAATGGGTAGAGCTGGTTTGCTTGATGAGCCTTGTTCACAATGGCCAGGGGAACCCGGAAGCCGAGCCACTTGAGGTTTCGGACTTCCTTTGAAAGTGTGATGATCTCAGGAAGGAAGTTCACTTTCAACTTGAGGACATTTCCTGTCCGGCCGCGAACACGAGTACTTTCAATGGTAAAAATGCGGCCAGAGACGCCCAGGTTGCGCTGCTGCACCTTCCTCGCCCAGTCGTCGAAGATTTCCTGGGTGTTGAGCTTCATGCGGAAGCTGTCCCCATCCTGCTTCAGCTTCTGGCCCTCCACGTGATTCTCCCAGCCCTTGCCAAGCACATCCTCCACTCGCTTCATGTAGGCTGTCAGCTGTCTGTCGATCTGCTTAGCCCAGATGATGGACCCTGACACCGGGGGCAAATCACGGACGTGACTCATCTTGCAGGCCTGGCTCTGGGGGTACTGGACCTTGAACTTGTCATGGAGAGACTCGATGTCATCTTTCACTCGCTGGATCAGCTGGGTCTGGTACTCACGAATGGCCCCACGGATGTGAGGCCTGACAAACAGTGCATTGAACCTGGAGAAGATCCTGAACATCTCGTTGGCATTCTTGGCCGTGCCCAGCTGGTCCCGGAGGCGAGCAGTGATACGGGTCTCCACCCTGTCGATCCGCTCGTCGTACCTCTTCATCGCAGCCTCCCAGGCCTCGGTGCCCTCTTTGGAGACATCCAGCCCGTCCACTTCCTTGACGTTCTCATAGGCCAGGTTGACTTCCTCAATGGCATTTGCATCCGCAGCGTCGAAGAGGACCTCCGCCACTTTCATATCCTGGGGCTCAGGAACCTCCCCTTGATTCTGTTGTGCAACTGCCGTGACCTAGAAGATTTGTAACAAAAATTTATCAAATGAAGAGTTTTATTTTGTTATACCCATAAATTACTAGTCAGCAATATAGGTTTTTAAACTTTTAGTCATACATTTTGTAACAAGATCTCGACCAAGCCAAGTAAATATGACATATTTTAACTGAACAATAGAGGTTTTCTGAAAATATGACTGTTAGATTACATTTATAATGGAAGAAAAGAACAGGTGGAGATGACAGGTGACTCTTGAAGAGCCAAAAGAGGCATGTACCTAGAAATAAAAGGAGCCATGGTTTTCTTTTAGTCAGTCTCAGGCACACGATCACATCCACATTTAGAGGTGAGGAGTCTGAGATAAAGCAGTGCAGTGATGTGTTCAAGCCACACAGCTGACAAATGGTGAAGCAGGAACAAAACAGCCAGGCGTCTGGCTCTGGGGTCCATGCAAGGTAAAGGAGGGAAGGAGGGAGAGAGGGAGGGAGGGAGGGAGGCAGAGCATTACGAATCTGGACTGAAATGCTTAATATATAATCCATCACTCTTCAAGACAACAATAACATGAAGAAGATGGGATCCAGGGAAGAACCATTCAGTGCCAAGCAGAACGCAGGGTTTTTTTTTCAACAACAGGCATTTAGATGGCACATAAAGAGCTTCTTTATTTATTTATTTAGATGCCAGAGATTGAACCCTGGGACATTTAACCCCTGAGCCACATCCCCAGGCCTTTTTAAAAAAATTTTTTAAATTTGAGACAGGGTCTCGCCAAGTTGCAGAGGCTGGCCTTGAACTTGTGATCCTCCTGCCTTAGCCTCCCCAGCACTGGGATTATAGGCTCGATCCACTGTGCCTGGCACAAATCTTTAGAATGCAAACCTCACCTGTGGCCTCAGGACTCTGACGATGACAGCTCTTAGTTGCTCGTGCTGGCGTCTAAATTTTCTCATTTGATCAAGGCGAGCTTGAAGCTTTCTGTGAGCAGGGTTAATACGCCACACCATCTTCAGATTTTCTTCCCTTTTTCTTTTGACAATGTCTCTCAACAACACCTGAAGCTTCTCATACTCATCATCCCAAGTTTGAAAAACTTCAAAGCAAGCTACCATAACCTATGATAGGACATGAATCCAGGAAAAGAAGTTTATTATTAAAGCATGCTTTTACCTCATTGCTCCAAGATTGGTTTTCTAATATAGTAAAACTTACTTTTTCAAATTCTTCATAAGCAACATGCATCAATTTTCTAGTGCCCAATACTTTGAGTAACTGAGAACTCAAGTCTCTTGAAATTGCTTCTACCAAACGCAGTGCCCTCTGAATGGGATATTTTGTGTTTCGGATCTTTCTCAAGTGGGTGAAAATGGCTACAAGCGCCTGCCGTATCTTGTCCAGCTCAGTGGCAGACAGTAAGTCATTCAGAGGGAAATCTTTCATTAGAGGATTGTAGTCATTCACTGTTTCCAAAGCTTGTTTTAGACCTAGGTTGACAGATAAACAGTTAAAGGTCTTCATATAAAGTAATATTAAGTAAAGAAAAACGTACCCTTACAAGGGAATGGTCTGATGTTTCATGGGGTCCAGTGACACAGAAACCTCCTAACATCTGAGAAAGGAATGCTGTTAGCAGGGTAACCCTGGTGTGGCCCTGGGTTTGCTTTTTTTTTTAAAGAGAGAGAGAGAGAGGATTTTTTAATATTTTTTTTATTTTTTAGTTCTTGGCGGACACAACATCTTTGTTTGTATGTGGTGCTGAGGATCGAACCTGGGCCGCACGCATGCCAGGCGAGCGCGCTACCGCTTGAGCCACATCCCCAGCCCCTGGGTTTGCTTTTTTTAAGAGTAAAATCAACTCATATGCACTCCAAACACTGTGGGCAGTTACCTTGTAGATTTTATTTGCATTCTATATTATCTACATGTTCTACCAATTACAATTAAGTTTAGAGAAACTAAAGTTTTGTCATCCTTGAAAACACTAAGATTTCCTAAGGCTCAGGTGAGGGGAGTGTGTTACTGACTTCTCTTCCTGGCATAAGATTTAGAAAGAAATAAAAATTTCACATGTGTTAAAAAAAAAAAAAAATTGAAGTACACATTTCAGCGGTAGTGACTGCCCAGACAATGTGCACAATGTGACTAACATTCCAAGTAAAACCTTCTGATAACCAGAAGGTTTTACTTGGAATCTCCTCTAACATTTAAAATGTGGGTACCATATTTTTTACGGGGGGGCTAGGGAAAGGAACATGAAAAGCAATCTTTTTTATTTTTTGGTTCTGGAGATTGAACTTGGGGGCACTTTACCATTGAGCTACTTTCCAGCCCTTTATATTTTTTATTTTAAGACCTGGTCTTGCCTAAGTTGCCCAGGCTGGCCTTGAACTTGTGATCTTCCTGATTCAGCCTCCCAAACGTCTGACACTATAGGTGTGTATCACTGCACATGCTTATGTTCACGACTTTGTCTAGTAAGTATCTGTGGGCATAGACTTGTAAAGAAATGCCTCACAGTACCTGGTCATTCAAACATTTGTGTCCCCAGTATAATGCAAAATCACGCTGTTCCATACTCAGAAAGTGAAATTTACTTTGACTACTCAGAATAGGGAAGAAGACAGAGGGGAAGGCAGCAGGTAAAAAGAGGAAGAGAAAGCAGTACCAACAGCTCTTCTTCCACAGCCCCCTGGGCAAGGAACTTCTGCTCAGTTTAAACATTTTGCCATTATAAAAAGCACAACTGACTTTATACAAAAAAAAGTGCAACCCATATAAGAAGGCAAGCAGCTGAGAATCAGGAGGGACACTCCAGGCTCACTGAACTAGTGCCTGGAGACTGCTTCATGTTCTTAAAAGCCCTGGAGGGAAGAAGGTATGGGAAAACCATTTTAATTCCTGGAACTGAGGGAAAGATGAGACAGGATGCAAGAGGGAAAACTGAAAAAGAGTACAGGGTTGAGGGTGTAGCTCAGTGGTAGAACTGGAGACTGGTATGAGTGAAGCCCTAGGTTCCATCATTTATTCATTCTCACCTAAATGACCATATAAAAGACCTCACAAAACCAGACCAACAACTTATCAGATCATTGTGGTTTTCACCTGTGTCTGTGTCAAAACTGACAGTGGCGTGGAAACGCTTGCCGTGCTTCAGGATATCCAGAGTCAGGAGAACTTCTGGGCTCTCCCGCTTCTCCTGGATGCGGTACAATGCACGCTCCAAGTTTAGCCAAAAACTGATTTCCTGTAAGGCTGTTCCTGATGCAGGATCTCGATCAAGTTTGGTCACCTTTTAAGACAATAACATTCAGGGGTACTCACTATTTAAACAGAGAAGGAAAAGTATCATTAATGAAACACATTACAACTTAATTTTTATACCTCAAGTCAAAGGCATGAGCCTGCTCAAGATCAAAGCTCTCTCAGGGTTAACATTAAACTGTTCAAACTGCATCTGATCACTCCACCCAGACCAGGGCTGACCCTGTACTGAGCATGCCCAGAGGCAGGAGGGGCCCCACCACCAGCTGATCACTTACTGACAAAGCTCAGAAGAGTCCCCCATAGGCATTAAAGAACAACACATTTTACACAATATGTCTCAATAACGGGTTCTTACTTTTTGAATTTCTCGGATCCACCGGTTAACTCCAGATTGTAATTGATTGAGAAAAGTTGGGTCTTCAACTTTATCTCCAAAATCTGTAACTTTGGGCTTTTCTCCACGTTCATAACATTGCTTTGCAACATTTGTAATAATTGGGTGGATTGGAAGGCTGATTTCTGGAATCTCAATGTTCTGCTGTAAGTGCAGGAGTCCCATTTCAAGTTCTGCAATCTTTTTCTCAACTGAAGGAGCCATTTTATCACCATCCCTATAAGACAGGAAACATTAAAAAAATTAGGGCATGACTTGTCTCCAGAGATCCTGCTATTTCAGGTCTGTCAGGTATTAATAATACCACATTTATTAATGAAAAAGAGCTATATCCTGTTGACTTCCCCTCCCAGGCCTGAGTTTCACATCATTTCCTACACTGACACGTTTACACATGAAGTGGATGTGACACAGACCACAGAGGGAAATGGCTTTACCTGTCTGCTTTGCCAGACTCCCTGATATAGGACTTAAAAAACGGAGCCACGGCGTTGCTGATGAAGGAGTGTAGCGTCTCATATGGTGAGTCTTCACTGAGAGTGAGCACGCGCAACTGAGAAGACACCGGCTTGTCTGCGTCGATCACAGGGGTGCGTTTAATGAATGCCAGGCTGGAGAGAGTGAGCGAGGAGTCAGCACAAGAGTCTCATTCCTAATCTGTCTTAATAACTGCCGCCTTTGTGTGCATATAAATCAAAACTTAATTTGCTTGTTCAACTTAAAAATCATGTAAGATCATACTGAACTGCTGCTTTCTAAGAATGAAACGTACTGCCCATCCGCCTTTCTTTACCCACCCAGTGAGAACTAGCAGTTCAGGGTTGGGGTTAAGGGTGTTCTCATGAAACCAGGCAAAAGCTGTCTCACACAAGCTGGATTCTCAATCTTGGCCTACAGCCGACCTCCCCTGTCAGCTGTGCTACCAGCCCACACACTCTCAGGTCTGATCTCAAGCTCAGCTGTACTGCTTGCACACTGCACCAAGTCATGCATCAGCTTCAACAAGCAAACTGCCCACAAGCTGAAGGTGCAGCCCAGGCTCCCCTTCACCTGGCCCTGGGAGTCCTCTAGCTCCACCTCCACATGTGTGCTACACCCCATGAGGACAAAAGCTAACCAGGCATCTGGTTCTTAAAGCTCATGGGCTTGGTGTCTTTGCTTAATAAACCTAAACTCATCTGCTGAAAGTCAAGGTAACTCAACTCAATTCTGGCATGACCTCCTCCATGGGCTTCCCCTAATCAGGAGCCACCTCCAATCTCCATGTTCCCATGATGTTTTGCCAAGTATTATAATTAGCTGAGCATCTGCCAACCTCCCTCCCAAAGACCATGAGCTTCCTGGAAACAGCATCTGGGTTTATTTCTTTGTATACCACATCATACCTGCTGCTATACCTTCCATTCCAAAGCACTCACTGAAAAGGTCTTGTAAACCTCTTCAGTGCCTTGGCCAATACGTTATAGATAATACTTCACATTACTCTAAAAGACCAACGAGTTACTTTTATGGCACATTAGGAAGAAACAAAGTCACAACAGTATTCCTGCCCAAAATGTATACTCTGAATCTCATCATGAGGAAGCAGCAGACAAATTCAGTTATGGGAGTCTGTAACTCTTTAAAAAAAAAAAAGAAGCAAAAAAAATTCAATTTATGAAGGCACAGAAAACCTGAAGGGCCACCTCAGATTAAAGCTTACAGACAGAAAATCAATGGCAAAGGGTGATCTAGACTGGATTCTGGTTGGGAGAATTATTAAAAGGGGCATTATTAAACTTGTCCTGTAATTAGAGAATAATACTGTGTTTCCTGCATTTGATAAGGCTATGTGCTTGTTCTTAAAAAATACACCCTGTCCAGGTGTGGTGGTGCATGCCTATAATCCCTGCAACTCTGGAGGCTGAGAAAGGATTACAAATTTCACACCAGCCAGGGCAACTTAGCAAGATCGTGCCCCCAAATCAAAAATAAAAAGGAATGGGGCTGAAGCTTAGTGCAGAGCACCCTGGGTTTAATCCCTATCACTACCAAAACAAAGGTCACATTCTATCTATTATTCATGCAACTCTTCTATAATCTTGAAATTAATTTTAAAAAATTTAAAAAGCTTTAGGGCTGGGGTTGTGGCTCAGTGTAGAGCACTTGCCTAGCACTTGTGAAGCACAGGGTTCGATCCTCAGCATCACATAAAAATAAATGAATAAAATAAAGGTCCATCAATGTCTAAAAAATATTAAAAAAACTTTAGACAGCCAATGAAAAATAAATTAATATTTACATATTTAAATTTGAATCTGTTTATTAAAGTACAAATTGGAGCAATCTTTTTTGAAGGTGGGAAATCTGATAATTGGTAATATGGATTAAAAACAACAATGTTACTTTGCATCTGAATTAATAATGCTACCTTTAGGAATTTATCCCCGAAAGAATCAGAGCTGAACATAAAAATGTTTACTAGTTATTTATAATAATGAAAAAATCAGATATAATCTGAGAATATTAGTAGATATGTAAAGTATATTTTAGCTCAAACGTTAAGATGAATATCGTGAGGTACAGTGGCGTACACCTATAATCCCAGCAATTTGGGAAGCTGAGGCAGGAGGATTGTGAGTTCAAAGCCAGCCTCACCAACTTAGCAAGGCCCTAAGCAACTCAAGTGAAATCCTGTCTCTAAATAAAATACAAAACAGGGCTGGGGATGTGGCTCAGTGATCTAGTACCCCTGACTTCAATCCCTAATACAGAAAAAAAACACACACACACAAAAAAAACATGAGGGGCTGGGAATGTGGCTCAGTGGTTGAGTGCCCCCGAGTTCAATCTCTGGTATCAAAAATAAATTAAAAAAAAAAAAAAAAAAAAAAAGCTGGGGTTGTAGCTCAGTGGTAGAGTGCTTGCCCAGCATATGTAAGGCTCTGGGTTCAATCCTCAGCACCACAAAAATAAACACTAAAATAAAGGTATGCTGTCTATCTACAACAACAACAACAAAAACATAATTATCATGATACTGCAATTAAAAAATATCTTAAAATTTACATTGACTTGGAAATCCCCATAATTTGATGACATGAAACCAAGGATAAGATACTGACATCAAAAACCAAAGTCTTGGGCTGGGGATGTGGCTCAGGCGGTAGCGCGCTCGTCTGGCATGCGTGCGGCCCAGGTTCGATCCCCAGCACCACATACCAACAAAGATGTTGTGTCCGCCGAGAACTAAAAAATAAATATTGAAATTTCTCTCTCTCTCTCTCTAAAAAAAAAAAAAAAAAAAACCAAAGTCTTGGGGTTGGGGATGTGGCTCAAGCAGTAGCGCGCTCACCTGGCATGCATAGGGAGCTAGGCTGGATCCTAGGCACCACATAAAAATAAAATAAAGATGTTGTGTCCACCAAAAACTTAAAAAAAAAAAGTCATTTTTGGTACTGGGGATTTAACCCAGGAGTGTTTAACCACTGAGCCACATCCCCAATCCTTTTTATAAATTTTTAATTTAAAGACAGGGTCTCACAAAGTTGCTTAGGCTGGCTTTGAATTCCTGCCTCAGCCTCTACAGTTGCTGGGATTACGGGCATGAGCCTCTGTGCTTGGCTTAAAGAATAGAAGTCTTAAAGTTTTCTTAATAATGATTGTCTGAGTCGATGGACATTTACATTAATTTACAATTATAAATCTATAATCTGAAGTAATGGTATATTTGTACTACTTACCTATTGGACTTGACTCCATAATGAATGTCTATGTTGATGTTGTAGGAAATAAATTCTTTTTCTTCTTCTCCTTCATCACCAACATCCTCTACAAATCATAAAAACATTACAGCAAATTCACGTCATTTCAGTTTCTTACCAACTGCTTAGGGAGTTTTTATTGCAGCCCACCCCTAACCTGACATTTAAATCCTTGAAGACTCGGTGCCACCTAAGTTTCCCCTCCCACCCATTTTCTGACTCCTAACTCAGTCCCTGACCTGCCATGTCACATGGAGGTAAGTAGTTACCTTCTCTGCACATGCCAGGTGGTACTGGCCTGCCTGGGTGGCTGGAAGGATTGGCAGCAGGTGCCAGTGAAGCAACAGGACAGGAGGGGCTGCCTGAGGGCAGTACGGCTGCACTCAGCTTCTGCCAAGTTTTCACTATCCCTGCTCAGGAGCCCCGAACGCTGTGCTCCAAATATAGAAGGCCCTCTCCACCTCCATCCCCTGAGCATATTCTGCTCTGTTGTTTACCCAGCACTCACTACGTGACAGGCACTTACACACATTATACACTGTACTCTAGTGTGTGGCATGACTGTTGTTATTCCCGTTTTCCAGGAATGAAGTCCAATTAAATGGTTCACAGACCCTAGGCTGGAAAGCACCAAAGTGAGCATTCAGAGGTCTGTCATTCCAAAGTGCAGGCCCTTCACCCGGTCAAGAAACCCTCCAGGGGCTTGCAAGGAATTCACCTAGCCCTCCCCTCCACTGCACAAGCAGGAGTCACTTTACAAAGCTTTCTGAAATCAACAGTAAAAGCAGCCCCAAGATGCATGTAAATCAACTTTCTAAATAACTCAAAATCGAAAACAATAAGACAACTGTAAGAAGACAATCCAAACTTTTGCATCACAAGATACCTAAACATTCTAGTTATCTTTTCATGACACACTGTATGAAATCAGTGTTAGCAAAAATCACAATCTAGGAATTTTTTTGTTTGTTTCTGCATTTGCAGGAATTGAACTCAGGGCCTTGCACATGCCAGGTAAGTACTCAACCCGAGTTACATCTTTAGCCCAATATACAGCTCTATCTTTCAAGAAGACAATTCTTTGAAATTATTGTTTTGGTATAATTTTATGAAGGGGAGGAAGGAGTAGGTGGCAGAACATTCCAGCATGTCAAGTACTACCTAGCTGTTTTTTAATGACCACTGTCTTTTTTTCCCTGACTTTTTAAAAATATAACTTTATTTATTTATTTTTATGTGGTGTTGAGGATCAAACCCAAGGCCTTGCATGTGCGAGGCGAGTGCTCTACCACTGAGGCATAACCCCAGCCCCATGACCACTGTCTTTTTGGTGAGTTCAGACAGAGTGCCACAGAGGCCTTGAGCACAATTTGAGATACAAGGTGGTAGGATGCTGCCCGCCCAGCCCAGATACTGCTCACCCACAGAAGAATCTTTGCATATCATCACGTCATCACCAAGTCTCACTGTTGGCACCTTGCCTCTCAGCTACAGAAAACGAAGTCTTGGAGAAACTTGCTGTGGACAGGTATTTGAGAAGTGTCTCTTATAGGTAAAGAACTTTGGTCCCTGGCTGTGCTGTGACCCACAGCAGCACTTGCAATGTGGACTAGGAATACCAGACTTGACCACATGTCACCCAGTGCTACTGAGGCACAGGTGCCCATTCCACCCAGATCATGAAGGTGGAGGAGACTGCAGCCACCAAGTGCCACCAGCCAGGTCAAGCTTGCCCTATTGAGTCCTGCTGTAACCAGTGCAAGCCAAGAGGTCCAACATGTCCTCCAAGTGCCCTCTCACCCTGCATCTGCCCCCCAAAATTCTTGTAGACTACCAAAACATTTTTAATTAAAAAAATATATATATAAACCACGGTTTCAAAAACCCCACACACATCAGTTTTTCTAACCATTCAAATGTGGCTGTACTACAAGAGAAATCATGAGGCCTGAGACCAGTCACACTTAGAGGACTGCCTTTAGTAAGACACAGCAGGTGACAAAGAGCACAGAGAAACCCCAAACCAAATAGCCATCCAGGGATGGGGTACAAAATATGTTCTTCCTCAGTTGTCTGAACTTTTCAGGATATTGTTCTATGATTCATATAAAAAAGTATCATTAAAATAACACTCAAGCAACATTCAATGGCACAACTAAAAAAAAATGATGCCAGTTTTCAATCCTTTCTCCCCCTCAGGGAGAGGCGCATCATCTACATAACAAGAAAAGATGCACCCTGGCCAGAGCTACAGTGCTGCTGGCACATTAGAGTCTGGGACGAGGCCCCATCCCATGCAACAGCGAGTCAGGCAGCCTGGCAGATGCCAGCTGGGCACAGGAAGACTGCAATGCAGCAGAGTGCTGCTGTGGCTCCGGAAGGCACACCCAGTGACATCATCTTCGAACTACAACAAGGCAAACAGACGTTCCCTACTGCTTCGTTACACTGACTTCTGATGATGACACCTAATGGAAGTCATTATGAACTCGTCAGAGAACACACTGTGGATTAATGGTTTTATACATAGCCCTATTAAATACAGATGAAATGAATACATCTGAATCCTACTTAGAGAATTTATTATGACATTGTTTGGTAAATTGCTATAATGTGTCCTTTTTGCCTCTCTGTAAATTATTAAATCATCCAAGTAATAAAAATGTGACATTTTACTTTTGTAGAAACATTTAAAAAATTGTTCATTGTTAATTCCTAATAACAAAAAAGGGTCAATGCTGTTAGAAACTTATATACACAAATGCAATCTGCATGTTTCATCAGGTAATATGAGTTTCAGCAAAGCCTGAATCAGGTTCCTGATGCCGGATACAGTTTATGTTAACTCATACTATACTGCCATGGGATAGTTACAGAATCAAAGTAGCACAGCAGCTCAGGAAGAGGATGCCCACAAGCTCCTCTGCTGCACACCACGAAGTCCTACAGATATTCTGGTTACCTTCTGAAAGATTACTGATTTCCTAGAGATATTTGAAGTGACATTTAGCACTCATTTGTGTATACTTCTATTGAAAGACTAGTTTACTGTATTTTGAATACCCAGTGATTTACATCATTACATTGTCTTGCTTAATGAAATATAAAAAAGGTAACAGTTCAGTTACCTTAAGAATCATACACTCTCCTGAGTAGAGAAGCATATTTTCACAAAGTATAGTACAGACACAGTCAGAAAAGGATAAAGAGAAAACTCCTGGTAAAGAATAGGCAAGCCAGGCACGATGGCACATGCCTACAATCCCAGTGACTCAGGAGGCTGATACAGGGGGATCACAAGTTTGAGGCCAACCTCAGCAACTTGGTGAGGACCTAAGCAATGTAGTGAGATCCTGTCTCATGATAAAAAATTAAAAAGGGCTAGGGATATAGCTCAGTGGTTAAATGCCGCTCCCCCCATGGGAGGGGGGACAAACAAACACAGGTGCCCTTGCTCTTCTCCTAACTGTCCCCAGTCACATAGCAAGTCTCTTCTCCCTCCAAGAAAAGAGGTCATTCATTTCTTCTGGTCCCTGGTGCTCTGGTCGATCACCATCCACACCCATCCTCCTCTTGATTTCCTCATGACTTTAGTTTTCCTGCTACTATCTAGGGTGCTTTCTGTCACCTCCATGCCCTCCACTGGGTCCTCCTGAGAAGACATGACTGCCACAACCTTGTGCTCTGGCACAAGGCTAAGAACCTGGTGAGAGAGTCATTTTTTTTCCCCCCCAACTTGAAAACTTCCATCAAAACATCCCCAGACAGGTGTGAAGGGAGGATTAAACCCCATATGTGTGACATAAGAGGGCTTCATTTAATATTTCCAGAAAGGAAGAAGAATAAGAAATTAAAAAACTAAGTTACTAATATTTAAGAAACTTAAAGACTTGGTGTTTTTAATTTAATACCAATTCCAAAAGAAGTAATTGATAAAATGAATACTTCCATATTAATAGCTATCAAGGAACTGCACAGAGATTAGTTTTCAGAACACTCCTTCAAACATCATTCTCCCTGATAGGTCTTAAAATTCGAGGGTTTCTTTGGTTTCCTCCTTTAGGAAAGACAAGGACTAGACTCATTTCCTTGTTGTTCCCAGCCTGTTGCCCTGAGGTGCTGATAACCAATTCCCAGCCATCTTTACTTTGTAAAAAGAAGCGATTGCTGTTTTCCCTTTGCTGCACATAAATTTCCTTTACTATGCTACACTACACATTCAATTTTCCCTTGCTGCAGATTGCTTTGTTTTCTAAGGGTGAGGAGCACAGGGTAGGAACAGCCCAAGCCAAGGGACTCCTGTCCAGTGCTACATTACTGTTTTATAGAAAACATTTCCTATTAATTTATTCATTGCAGCACTAACCATCTGAGGGCGAAGCTAAGGCCAGAAGCAAACACATGCTGTGATCTACCATTAGAAAATCTGGTATCTGGCCAGGCACAGTGGCACACGGGAGACTGAGACGGGGGATTGCAAGTTCAAAGCCAGCCTCAGCAAAAGCAAGATGCTAAGCAACTCAGTGCAACCCAGTCTCTAAATAAAATACAAAACAGAGCTAGGGATGTGGCTCAGTGGTCGAGGGACCCCGAGTTCAATCCCCACTACCGCCCCCCAACATAAAAAAATCTAATATCTGTAACCTGGAACTTTTTGAACACTGACATGAACCTCACAAAGCTTCAGATCTTGGAGAATTTCATATTTCAGATCAGTGATACAAAAATCCAAAACCTGAAACAATTCTGGTCCCTAGCATTTTGGATAGAGGACAGTCCACTTAAACTGTATTTTTTAGTCATTAGTTTGCTAAATTTCTTCATTCTTTGTGAAAATTAAATCCTCAGAAAAATAATTCTTTAAAAAAACCACAAAATCTGGGCTGGGGTTGTGGCCTAGTGGTAAAGCGCTCACCTAGCTTGTGTAGGGACCCTAGGTTTGATCCTCAGCACCAATAACTAAAAAATAAATATTTAGAATAAATAAATAAATAAAATGAATATTTTAGAATAAATAGATAAACCTACAACTAAAAAAATAAATATTAAACCCATAAAACCATTTCCTATAAAGCTTTCTGCACTCTATGATATTATAAAACTCTATGATATTTTATAAAATATTATAAAATGCTCTAGTTTCCGTTACCATTCCAGTCCTTAGCCATCTCTTAATAACAAAGAGGCAAAACCCCCAAATTATCTCTCAGAAGAAACTATGATTACAAGCTTAAAATAAGCAAGCATGAAAGGCAGCCTCTATTTTCTGTCATAAAGGCAAAGTTCTACATCTAAGATACTTGAGTGAAACACACACACACCCCAGGCACCAGAGCTTGGTCTGACTGCTGGCAGGCTGCAGAGTGCAGGAAAACATACCAGACACCACCCAACCTCCTAGACAAACCTAATGAAAAACGCATGCCAGGTAAAAAGTGGTTCAAAACAGCACTAATGATGAGAAATGTCTAAGTGTGAATACCTATTTGGTCACAATTTTACAAGTATACTATGGAGAAAATAATTTTCTGCAGACTAAGAATTACAGACAGACTTTCCTTTTTCAAATGAGAAGCTGTAACTTTCTGACTCTCTAATTTTTTTTTAAAGAATTTAACTTTGATTTGTTTTTATGTGGTGCTGAGAATCAAACCCAGTGCCTCACCAATGCTAGGCAAGTGCTGTACCTCTGAGCCTCAACCCCAGCCCGACTCTCCAATTTTTCACAAGTAAAACAAGCTGCTAAACTCACAACTTTCATTTCTATATTTTGAAGAAGGCTGAATTTTACAAAAGCTCACAGCTAGCCAGGGTAGCTTAAAAATTTTATACACACACACTTACATATTCAACACAAATGTTGGAAACTTTTTCCAAAAAAAATAGGGGAATAAAATAGAAAAAGCAATCTCCCATTAATGAAATATATTATGCTACTTTACGGTGGTTGGTGATTTTTCCATTTAAATAATTCTGATTTGTTTTCCCTATTAATGCAAACCTACCCTTTCATTATAATCAACTATTGGATGCACATATTTGACTAACCATACAAATGTCAAAATTAACTCATACAAACTACCCCTAAAAAAGCCCTTCTAGCAAGGGTGATGGGTCTGTACTCATCTAACTGTCCTTGTGTAGGAGCTGGGGTATACCTTTTTGATAGAATGTGTACTTACAATGTCCAGGGCCCCGAGTTTAATCTCTAGCACCAAAACAAACAACAACAAAAAAATAAACTCTCCTTATGTGGCCCAGATGGATGCTAATAAGACCAATGAGGCCTTATAGAATAAACTTGGATTAATTTTAAAATCTTTCCTTAGATTTTTGTAAGTGAAGACAGGCTGAATTGCCAGAAATACCTCAGGGAGTTTTAAAAACACAGGACTGAGGCAGCATTTCCATTTTAGACAGTCTCATTCCTGACTTGACTTTAAAAAGTGCAAGTCATTATGGAGCCAAGATTTGGATGACTGTTCTTTGCTGAACGGAAGAAAAGTACACAATTCAAATATGCCCCCCACACCTGCAATAATTTTAGCAAAGTTTAATTCTAAGATGTTTGAAAAAAAAGAACTACTGATGATCTTTCTAGAAGCAAAGAGCAAAAACTTGCAATTTTTTTTTCATAAAAATAAATCGTGACCCAAGGTTAAAAAAAAAATCACTGATTTTAAAACATAAAGAGTACAATAAAAATATGATAAAGGGTTAGCTATGGTCAAACTACTCAAAATATAATAATTTAAAAAACTAAGATTTAGGGCTGGGGATGTGACTCAAGCGCTAACATGCTCACCTGGCATGCATGGGGTGCTGGATTTGATCCTCAGCACCACATAAAAATAAAATAAAGATGTTGTGTCCACCAAAAACTGAAAAATAAAAAAAAAAATAAAAAAAAAAACCCACTAGGATTTATTTAAAAAATGACCAGAAAGACATGGGCCAAAATGCAGTCAGTGGTTCTATTGGGGTAGAAGAATTCGGGTGATTTTTATCTCATGTGTATGAGAGAAACATGGTTTTGTCAAGAGTGGATGAGTTTTCTTTTCTTTGTGATGCTGGACATGAAACCCAGGGCTTCATGCATGCTAGGCAAGTGCTCTGACACTGAGTGCTTGATTTTTTTTTAACACATGATTTACATACAGGAATACATTACCCCAAACATGACAACATTAATGCTTTAAACATGCTCAAACAGCTTATTTGCTTTGAACATTCTATAGGGATATAAGAAAACTATTCTTTCATACCCTCAGAACCTCTGGACCAAAAGAAGGCTGCAGAGAAGCATCTCTGAATAAGAACAGCCTCTGAAAGAAACAAACTATCAAAAAGAATCAAGCTTGTGAGGCACAGAGGGCAGGTAGCCTGGGTTCTCTATGGCTAGCAACCCACAGCTTTTTGAAATTTCAAGAAACTTGCTGGCAAACATTTTCAGACAATCTCCAGTCTCTGGGTGCTAACCTTAAAACTGACTTGGATATCATCCCTGGGATCCCAGATGCAGATGGATGGTGCCACACCCATTCATGAGCTTGTCTCATATGCTCTCCATCTACTACAAAGTGGTTTTTTAAAGAATCAACAAAAAGGGGCTGGGGTGGTGTCTCAGTGGTGGAGCGCTTGCCTACCTCTGGGGTCGATTCTCAGCACTGTATACAGATAAATAAAATAAAGTTCATCAACAACAAACGAAATATATTTTTTAAAAAAATCAACAAGTAGGCCAAGCAGGCATGGCAGCCCATGCCTGTAATCGAAGTTGCTCTGGAGACTGAGGCAGGAAGACTGCAAACTCAAGATCAACCTCAGCAACTTAGCCAGGCCCTAAACAACTTGATGAGACTCTTGTCTCAAAATAAAAAGGGCTGAGGATGTGGCTCAGAAGTTAAATGCTCCTGGGTTCAATCCCTGATACCAAAAAAAAAACCCAAAAAAGAAACCCCATAGACAATTTCCAAACTCTAGGTGGGTGTGCTTTTTTGAGAAGACTGCAGGAATATGGAAACTTTTTGCCTCCTCTCCCAATCTCTTTCTTTTAACCTATAAAATCAGGCTTATCATTAGAATCATGTAAGCACTGCACAAATTGTAGGCATAATTAGTGAAGCGATGGACTGGAAACTGATATGATGAGTCCAGGCTAAGGACAAGAATTAGGTGCTGACCTTGGGCCAGTCATGTAACTGGAGATTCGGTTTTCTCACGCGTAAATGGAGAGATATACCCATTCAGCACCCAGTGAGCATCCGCCCTCCAGCAGAGATGCTCCGCAGGCACCCTGCTGGTACTGTCATCCTGTGAGCCTCTGCCTCTGGGTCCTGCAGGGGAGGCCTCAAATGCCTTCTTGCCTAGGCTCCTCTTACCCACCACGACCTCCTTCCTCAACCACAATCCAGCTGCCACGGCTCCCAGGTTTGCTCCTGGGTCTGCTCCCTCCCGAAGTCGCCTAGGCCTGGTCGCGAATCGAAACTGAAAAGCTCATGTGACGTTGGAGGCAGGGATGCGGCCTCCGCTCGCACTCGGCCCAGGGAGACGCTGTCTCCACCCAACTCGGCCATCTTGAGAGGCCCGAGCACACAAAGCGACCCCATTGTTTGAGTGATGGCAAGACAGGGGTACCCTGATCCCTTCCCTTAACCAGGACGCGGGCACCCCGCGGGGCTCCAGCCCGGGCAAGGAGTGAAGCAGCGCCGGCCTCTGCGGGGCGTCTGGGGCGTGGGGAGCTCGTCCCTCATGGGAGGGGGGCGTCTGGGGCATGGGGGACTCCTCCCATCCCCAGTGGTGTCCGGAATATGGGAGGCTCCTCCCTCCCGGGGGCATCTGGGGCGTGGAGGGCTCCTCCATCCCCTGTGGTGTCCGGAAGGTGGGGGGCCCCTCCCATCCCGCCCGGCATCTGGGGAGTGGGGGGCTCGTCCCTCCCGGGGGCGTTTGGAGCTCCTCACATCCCCAGAGGTGTCTGAAATGTGGGGGGCTCCCATCCCACGGGGCATCTGAGGAGTGGGGGGCTCGTCCCTCCAGGGGGGAGTCTGGAGCGTGGGGGACTCCTCCCATCCCCAGTGGTGTCCGGAATGTGGGGGGTTCGTCTCATCCTGAGTGGTGTCGGCGGGCGTGGGGGGCTTGTCCCTCCCGCGGGCCGCCCCTGCCCTACGCTGGGCCCTGGCGCCGGGCCCCGCACCTTTGAGGGTGGAGCGCTCCACCAAGACCGTGTGGACCTGCGGGTCCGACAGGAACTTGCGCATCTGCTCCAGGGCACTCTTCTCCTCCAGCGCCGCCTCGAGCGCAGCGGGCGCCTCGCCGCCATCCTCCA